CTGTGAAACTTCCTTCTTGGTGATAATGAGTTACTCTAAGTCAGTCTCGTTTGTGATGTCAGCATGTGTGTGCATGCATGTCTGTGTGCACATGTGTATATATTTACGTATTTGTGTTTACTCTCAGGTTGCACATAGACTTCAGGGGCTTCTTAAAAGACAGTACAGCTCTAACACTGAAACTGTAAATGATACAGGGCTTGTTTGTCCCCTGAAAGTTTAAGAGAATGCAACGGGAAAACTGCATTGATAAATATGCTAGGGTAATAGTCTTTGAAATCTTAAAAATAATGACCAAGATCATTGTTTGGGGTGTCATTTACTAACTTAAGTAATTTTGTCATTATTAGTATACTGCTGTGTTTTTATATTTCTAAAATCCATTTTTATTTCCAGTTGTATTTGGGTTTCTCTGCCATATTTTTCAAAGGTCAAGTTCTATGTGAAGCCACTATCCAGAGCAGACCAATTTATTTACCTTATTATTCTTGCTGTGTTTCTGGCTTATTTTATGGCTTACAGGTTGTTTTCTTTATCACTTCCTTCCTCCCACTTTTGTCCCTTTCTTTATATTATCTATGAATTGACTGCTTAATTTATGTTTGATTCTGTCTTGTTTAATAATGGATGCATTCAAGGCTATGGGTTTGTCTATGAGCATAGCCATTTTAATCTTGCAGCTGTCACACAGGAGAAAGGAATCAATAATTATTGAACACACACTCTGTCAGAGGCTGTATTAAAGCGTTCCACATCCTTCCTCATTTGCAAATGGAAGGACTCATCCTGCTCTGGGAGTCTGTTTTGAGACCGCAGGGAATAGCCTAGGAGCGCAGCATCTACCACTTAGTGAGAGTTTTACAAATGGCCGCTGCTGTCTGCTGCAGAGTTTGACTCTCTCTCAGCTGCCCTATGCTTTTGTCGCCATATTACACATGAAAGCATTGAGCTACAGCAAAGAAGAAGAAATGTTCAAGGTCTCCGGGTCACCTGGGGAGAAATGTCGGGGCAAGATTCCATACGCAGTCTGTCTGCAGGGACCCTCCAGACACAGTCCCCTCCTGTGCAAGTCACCGGTGCAAAGCTAACAAGGCAGCTGCTGAAGAGCTAAAAGTTAACTACAGGCTTGGCCGTGCTCCTGGTCCAAACTCCCATGGTCTTCACTTTCTCCTGTTACATGCATATGCGTGCGTGCATGTATGTGTATATCCTGTTACATGCATATGTGTGCATGCATGTATGTGTAGTGTATGCATGCATGCGTGTATGTTTATCCTGTTACATATGTATGCATGTGTGCATTTATGTGTAGTGTATGTATATGTGCATGTATGTGTATATCCTGTTATATGCGTATGTGTGCGTGAATGTATGTGTAGTGTATGCGTGCGTGCATGTATGTGTATATCCTGTTACATGTGTATGCATGTGTGCATGTATGTTTATCCTGTTACATATGTATGCATGTGTGCATTTATGTGTAGTATATGCACATGTGCATGTATGTGTATATTCTGTTACTTGTGTATGCATGCGTGCATGTATGTGTATATCCTGTTATATGCATATGTGTGCGTACTTAATGTATAGTGTATGCATGTGTGCGTATGCATGTGTGCATGTATGTATAGTGTATGCTTGCATGCATGTATGTGTATATTCTGTTACATGTGTATGCATGCGTGCATGTATGTGTAGTGTATGCATGCATGCATGCATGTATGTGTGTAGGTCACCAGTATAGATGCATACATGGAAGTTTAAGGACAATTTCGGCTGTCATCTTTCCTAAGATACCATCCACCTTGATTTTTGAAATGAGATCTCTCACTTTTACCTGAAATTTGCCAAGTAGACTGGGCTAGTTGGTGGGTAAGCTGCAGGAATCTGACTGTCTCTGCCTCCCTAGTGCTGGGATTATAAATGTACCACACCACTCCTAATATATATATTATATGCTTATAATTACATCATTTCCTCTTTCACTCTCCTCCTCCTAACCCCTCCCATGTGCCTCCTCCCCTTGCTCTCGCTCTAACTCATGACCTCTTTTTCTTATTGTTACACAATGCACATGCACACACACACTCCTAAAATATAAATGCAGCATAATCAGCCCACATAATGTTACTTATGTGTGTATGATCTCAGGGATCACCATTCAGGATTGAATAACCAATTTGGGGGTTGTTCCCTAGGGAAGGCTTTTTCTCCTGCTCTTGGCCCCCCTTGACCACCTGTAGTTTTCTGTCCAGTGTCAAGACCTCATGGGCTTTCCCCTTCCATGTTATCATGTCTATTGGTACCATCATTGTTCTGTGCTGTTGAGGAGATTTCACACGAGTAGCTTGTCTGGCATTCTAGGAGACAGAATCTCACAGTAAACTTCCTGTTCCTTTGCCTCTTATAATCTTTCTGCCCCCTCTTCCTCAATCATCCCTGAGCCTCAGGTGCCAGAATTGTGTTGTAGATGTACTGGTTGGGACTGGGCACCACAGGATCTCTTGTTTTCTACATTTTAAACAGTTGTGGTTTTCTATAATGGTTTCCACCTGTTGCAAAGGGAAGTTTCCTTGATTAGGCCTAAGAACTATACTTACCTGTGAGTATAAAGATAAATATTTAGAATATATTAGTACTATATATTCTAGAATATATTTAGAATATATTAGGGATTGTGCTGGTTTAGTAAGTTGGTCGTTGTAGGTTCTTCATGATCCATGACTTCACTAGCCCAGGGGTAGATGGCTAGATTTCAGGTACCAAGCATGGTTTCCCTCTCGTTGAGCAAGCCTTTAATATGGGGTCTGGGGCCCAAACTCAGGTCATCATGCTTGCTCGAAAGGCAAGTACTTTACACTGAACTATCTCCCCAGATTTCTACCTTCTTTCCCAGTTCCTATGTGGAGTATCAAAACTGATAGGAGACCTCCTTTAAGATATCGAGTGCCTTTCCCCAGTAGAAAAGGGGTCAATCCATGGTCAATAAAGTGCACACACATTGTTTTAGAGCCAACTCTGCTGCCAGCGCACAGGACCATGGCCCTTCAGAGCAGTTTCCATTTGTGTGAACTGGGAAGATTTCCAATTATACCCTGTGTTAGGAACAAAACATGAGGAACCTTGGCGGATTCCATGGCAGGAGAGGGTGACCAGGCGTGGGGTGGGGGGAGGAGTGGACAAACATGCTAGGCAGACAGAGCTTAAGTGAGAAGTTTTATTAGAAAGGGGAGGGGGGAGGAAAGAGAAAAGAGGTAAAGAGACACAGACACAGAGAGGACCGAAGAGAAGAGGGAGTCCTGTTTGCCCCAGGGGAACAGCGGGAAAGAAAGGGGGAAAGAAAGAGGGAAAGGAGAGAGCAGAAAGGGAGTGCAAGTGGGCAGAGGTCTTTGTTTTAAAGGGGTCCTTTGCACTTGGGTTGACCAGGGTGCTGCCTGAGTGCACTCTGCCAGGTGACGGGAAGGCCAACATAATGCCTGGATCCTTACGCCCTGGCTGTATAACAGAGGGGCTCATTGGAGATCCAAACTGTGCCTCTCCTGGCTTATAATGGGGCCAATTCACTGCCAAGAAAACGAATGAAAGCTGGTAGGAAGCTGCCCTTGCTCGAGAAAATGCAGGTGGGTGCCCCCTTGCTTGTCCTCCATCCATGTCCTCACCCTCACCAGAACCCTCTGTCAGCACAGGACAGGCTGGGAGGGTTGTCCATGGTGTAGGTCTCTGTCCTTTTGTAGCTGCTAGGGCCCAGCTCTCTGGGGACTTATGTGTCAGTGTGAAAGGAAACAGTAGTGTAGCAATTACACAAACATATACAGTAGAAGAGCCACATAGAGAGTTACAGGGGAAAACCCCATGGCCTCCCTGAGGGAAACAAATTTAGAGGGCTGGGGGACTCTGGAGGAGGAGCATATCTCTACTCCAGTGTGTCCTAAAAGTGTCTGGAGATCCCCCTTAGGATCTCCAGATGTCACATTTTGACACTGTTTTATTCCTCTTCTGTGGCAGGTAAGTGTGTGGTGGGGACTAGATGCCAGGGGTAGATAGAGATTTCTCAGACTGAGTCTGCAAGTAGGCGAGGGGGTGGCCAAAGATCTGAGTAATTTGAACCTTATGTCCTGGGTAGCATTTGAGTTGTTAATGGCCAAGCTGATTTCTAAGATATGCAGTTGTACTGGCTGGTAGTGTGTGTCAATTTGACACAAGCTGGAGTCATCAGAGTTGAAGGAGCCTCAGCTGAGGAAATGTCTCTATGAGAGCAACCTGTAAGGCATTTTCTCAATTAGTGATCGATTCTGAGGGCCCAGTCCATGATGGGTGGGTCCTGTCCCTGGGCTAGTGGTTCTGGGTTCTATCAGAAGGTAGGCTGTGCAAGCCATGGAAAGCAAGCCAGTAGGTAGCTCCTCTCTGTGGACTCTGCATCGGCTCCTGCCTCCAGGTTCCTGAACTGCTTGATTTCTTGTCCTGACTTCCTTCAATTATGAACAGCAATGTAGAGGTGTAAGCCAAGTAAACCCTCTTGCTTTTTGGTCATGGTGTTCCATTGCAGCAATAGAAACCCTAACTAAGACAGCCATTTTCTAGGAAAAGCTTTACTCAGAGAAAGTGTAGTCCTGATATTTTTCAAAGTCTCTACTGACGAATGGATCCTATTCACTTTTATTTGTTTATAACCATCTAATAAAACACAGGCTTGTTGGGAGCAGACAGTCTGACTACCATTTGATATAAAGATCTTCAGACCTTATTTATGAAGTTTTCTTGTGCAGTTTCTTTGTGCGTTTATTGCCTGTCTTGTCAGCTACATACACACCCCTCTGACACTTGCTTTCCCAAGACCCATAAAACCCAAAAAACAAAGGAAAGTTTCCTAATTCGTATTTTAAGCCCCTACTTAAGAATTAACCTCTATGTCTCAAAGATGAAGTGAATGATGCTGTGGGTACCACACTGAGGCAAAAAGGAGTAAAAGAGGCTCATAGCCTTTCATTGTCTTTTGTAAGGATTTGTCAGAGGATCCCCCTCATTTCATCCTGAAAGGTGCAAGCAGATTTGACATCCAGCAAGGAAGAGCAGGTAAGAACTCCACAGCTTCCATCCCAGCCTTTTGACTTGTTCTTCACATGGGAAGTCATGGTCTCTTCTTCTTCTTCTTCTTCTTCTTCTTCTTCTTCTTCTTCTTCTTCTTCTTCTTCTTCTTCTTCTTCTTCTTCTTCTTCTTCTCCTTCTCCTTCCTCTTCCTCTTCTTCCTCTTCCTCCTCCCCCTCTTAATCTTCCTCTTCCTCTTTGTGGGGGTCACATTTTGAGACAGGATTTCTCTGTACAAAAACAGCCCTTCCTGTCCTGGAACTAGCACTGTAGACCAGACTGGCTTCAAACTCACAGAAATCAGCTTGCTTCTCTCTCCCAAGTGCTGGGACTAAAGGTGTGCACCACCAACCCCCAGCTGAGAAATTATAGTCTTAAGCCAAGTTCATAGACACTTAGCTAGCTTCCAGCCTGTAATCTGCCCATTAGTTTCCCCTAACTGGAGAAAGGAAGGACTCCTCATTGCCACTTCTGCCCTGAGCACAGTGGCTGGCATTCAGAGAATTGATGCTGTTGACAATGAAGGGGGAAGCCTGAGACAGGAGGGAAGCGTAGTCAGAAGGGCTCACATAGATACTTGTAGAGAAGGTCAAGGCTACTAATCCATCAAGAGGAAGCAGAGAAAACTTCTGCATGGGCTGGAGAGTCCCCTAAAAGGGACAGGGCAAACATTTGCAAAGAAAAATACAGGTGCGTTTTCTGCAATGTATAAAATACCATTGCTGATTCTATTCAGTGGTTAAAACAATTGCTGGATATCAGCCCTGGGAAACTCTAGGAAAAAGAACCAAGGAGCAAGTTGAACCCCTTAATTGCCAAAGCCTAGTTAGGGCTTCCCTGGCCTTCCTCACCAGACCTTGCTTCACCCCCTGTCTCCTAATACCTACTGTCATTAGTACCTCCTCTCCATCTCACTTAGAAATGGCTTGGTAAATCCTTTCCCCAACTTTTCTCCCTCAGAGGGCAAAACTTCAGCATACGTTGGCCTTAGCTCCAAACCCCAAAATTTTCACTGCTCCAAACTCTGAAATGTCGTGGGTATGACATACATGGTCAAAACACAGGTGTGAAAAAATAAGCCTTAAATTCACCTCCAATCTGGGTATATGAGAGAGGTACATGTGAAGCATAAAGGAATTCATATTTAAATGTGGGTCACATTCCCACAATAGTTTATTATGTATGTGAAAACAGTCCAAAATTTAAAATCATTTGATAATGTTCTGGTCTCAAAGATTTCTGACTGATATTCACTCTATTTGTAGGAAGATTTGCTAACTCTGGTATCCACAACCTGTAAAACACAGAGAGGGTATGATTTCTGGTTAAGACCAGTCTCCATTATGGCTTTATTTCCCCCCAGGAGACTGCTGGTTCCTGGCAGCACTGGGCTCCCTGACCCAGAACCCAAAGTGTCTGCAGAAGATCCTGATGGACCAAAGCTATTCACATCAGTATGCTGGGATTTTCCGGTTCCGGGTATGTGCACAAGAATACTCCTTCTACGACGGGGAACTCTTGTGAGTCGGGCCTGGGAGCCTGAGCTGGAAGTGGCATCTATGCGTCAGTGACCCCACCCCCTCCAAAACAGGGTTCTGCCTTCCACTTATGGCCCAGCCACACATGGAGCAGATGAGGGGTGAGCTGCTCGCATGGAATTAGAAATGGTGGGAACAGGACGCGAAGGTGTTCTCTGGGCGTACTTTTGGGGGGGGGGATGTGACAGGAAGTGGATGAAGTGCTGACCCGGAAGCTATGGTGATGGCCATTGAGTTCTTGCCTCTTATTCCTGTGCCACGCCATGGTGTTAGCGACAGGAGCGTCACAGGGACTGCAGCATCCGGGAGGTCGTGTTCTGCTTCATTATTCATTCTTCTTTTCTCAGACACCTTTGGCAATCCTTGCACATCTCCCTACCTGGGGAATTTCAAAATAATTTTGTCTAATTAAACAGAAAAGCCACTGTGATGTAGAATGGGACAGTGTGCAATTTATGTATTAATTTGAAAAAAAATCACATTTTTATTGTTTTAATTATTCCTTTCCAGAAGCATGCTATATCTTTCTGTTTATTCAGAACTGATTTTTATGCCTGCCCATAAAATGTTACAGTTATGTTTTCGTATTGGTGCTGTACCCTTCTTGGTAAATTTATTCTCAAATATTTTACAACTGCATAGCCAGTGTCGAGTTCTTTTGGCTCTCCTCCCCCACTTTCCAAGTAGATGTTGCTGAAAAAGAGAAAAAATGGCCACCTATTGTAGAATAAACTGTATGGACACCTTACCAAATTCTCTCTCTAGTCCTCCTTTTTCCCTATGGCTGAGTCTGGATCATTTTAATTACCTCATGATGTGATCTTCAAGCAGATGGAGTTGTTTCTCCTTCCTTAACGCCCCTAGTTGTTATTTTGTTCTTTTGTCATGTCATGCCCTTTGAATCAGAGTGTCAACAGCCAAACTCTTAGCTCCTCCTGATTTTAGTAAGGAGCCTTCCTGATGCCACCAGCTTCTGTTTGTTAAGGGCTTCAGTAGAATTTCTGTGCCTATGTCATGTCGGAAGTTATTTTCTGCATTATGTTGTTTTTAAATCATGTTTGAGTTATACTAGCTTTATAAAGTGAACTATTATACACTTGATTATTTGAAATAATTTGAGTAATGTTTGCTAATCAAACATTCATCAAAGTAGACAAGAAGGGAAGTATAATAGACAAGAGTTAGGTTACCTCACTCCACCTCTTTTTAAAATATGACTTAGCTCTACTAGTGTACTCAGGAGCTATTAATTGGTTTGCACCACTTGTTTCTCTTGGAGTTATTTCTTTTTTTAATTGTTATTTTTGAGATAATAACATAACTACAATATTTCTGCCTTTCCTCCATCTAAACTCTCTTATATATCTCTCTTTGTTCTCTGTCAAACTCATGGCTTCTTTTTTTTTTCATTAGTTGTTCATATATGCCTATATGTATATGTACATACATACATATATACCTAGACATAACCAGCTCCATCTGTTTAATGTTACTCGTGTGTATGAGAACTAGCTTTCAGGGTACCAGAAGGTACCATGCAAGCTTTCAAAGGAGTGGGACCATCGACAATCCTACCCAGTTATGACGCCTATGAACCATAGCGAGGACCATCATAGCGCAATAACCCTGAGGGTGCAGTAGTGGTCCACAAACCTTGGAGGTAACCAACAGCTCTCTAATTGGACTTAAACCTTCTCAACAAAAGGGAAAACATTCCTGGCACTGGGAACCTAGGAAACTTATCAGTGCTAATGAAATCATTTTATCTTGGAGGAGAATCTAAAACCACTACGTTACTAAATTAACACAATCCCTGACAACAATCTAAAGATTTGTTCTTATACCCACAGATAACTGGAGTTACCTACTAATATTTATGCTTTGCCAGAAAGAGTGTTTCCCAATGTAATGTCCTGAGATTCTCTGATAGTCCATTTAATACTTTGTTATCTGTGGGCCAGAAAGATTTTTCAACAGGTTTGGGCCAACCAAACCTGATGACCAATATTCAAGACCTGGGATCTTCACGGTGGAAGGAGAAAACCAAGTCCAGATGGTAGTCCCCAGACCTCCATATATGCCACATCAGGCACATAGACACACCCTCTGCCATCTGGGTTATCCTGTCAAGTTCCTTTACCTCAAGGTTCCCATTGTCTCATTGTCTTATTTCCATTGTTGTAGAAAACTCCAGTGTCAGTTAACTTTACATATAACATGTGCTGTCAAACTTCAAGTCTCTAAGTGATTGTCTCTCCCTGGAATTCAGAAATGCCTTTAGAGTGCATTCAGATGTACACCATTTAAAAATTACTCTTGGGGGATGGAAAGATGGCTCAGCAGTTGACAGCAGAGACTGCTCTTACAGAGGACCTGAGTTCAGTTAGCATTCACATTGAATGGTTTCAACTGCCCTCAATTCTATCTCCTGAGGAACTGATATCATATTCTGGTCTGGGCACATGACACTAGCAAAATGGCACCTGCATGGTTTTTGAAGGGTTTAAACACTGTCCATATGTCTGTCATCTTCACCCAGTAAATAAGCACACGGCTACATTCCTGACCATCAGTCAACTTGCTTTATTTTTTGTCTTATTATATTATTTATGCATATGCATCAATGCTTCTTTAAATACGTATAATTATAATGAAAGTTCATCATGTTTTACACAATTAATAAATAAGTGTGTGTGTGTGTGTGTGTGTGTGTGTGTGTGTGTGTGTGTGTCTGTGTGTGTGTATTCTTGATCTCTGGCAACAGCAATCTTACCCGGTCTTCTCTTTGCATAGAGAAAGCATGTTTGATCAGTCTACATGAGAGTGGTTTCTAAGACAAAACTGGCCATAATAGTTTCCTTGTCCCAGGGCACTCTCATTTGTCATGACACCATCTTAGTTGCTGAACAAAGCAGCCATACAATTCCACAAATCATAGTGGCTCAAAACCACTCCGTTGCTCTCACTTTCTCCTCTGGCTACAGTGTTAGCCTCCTAAGTAATCCTTTCATCTTACCGTCATTTGAAAGACTAGAATGGAGTCAAGGTTAAGTAAGAAGTGTCTTGCCTAATAACTGTTATTAGCTAATAAGAGATAAAACCAAAATTCAGGCATAGTTTTACCAACTGGACATTATCCTCTCTACGTTTACCCAGCTAAGTACAAAGTTTGAATGGCCTTCCTGTCTACCCTCTGGGAACTGTGACTAGCTTTCCTTGGCGGCTCTCAAAAGCATTCCTGCTACCTGAACTTCTCTGCCTACACAGTTTACTGGTTGCTTCAAGAGAAACATTCATCCAGTGTGTCCACGCCCTGGCTCATTAATGACCATGAACACATCTTTACCTAGTTTCCACTGACATCTCAGTCTCTGTTTCCATCTCTGCTCTGATAGTGTGTCCTCAGGTGGGTGTGACAACCCTGAGACACCCAGCTGTGGAAAGGGCGGTGTGGATGAGAGCTCACATCCACCATACTTCGGCAAGCCCAGCTGGAGAAGACTCACCTTCATCCAGTTCAGCCCTAAACCAGAAGTCCTGCTGCTTCATCCAGCCCAACAGATACCAACAAAGAAACTTAAAAGGCTACCTTTGGAATGAATGTTCCTCATTTGCCGATGTCCTCGGGTGAACCGTTTAGAGTTGAATACTAAAGATGAAAGCAGTCTGCTTGGAGAGGAACATCTGGCTCATTTGTGCTCTTAGCAGGAAGAGCGCCAGCCTGCTTCATTTCTCTATTATAACAGCAAGGCCAGTGTGACATGAGGACAGAAGGGCCGTCACCGCCCCATCCTCCTGAGCCGGCCACATCATTCTACCTTGAGGCCTTTGCCCAGTCTGTCTTCATCATTTGAGGTGCATTTGCAATATGCCTGTCATGCTTCCTGCCCTGGCACAGCCCTGCACCTGACACCCTTAACATATGTTTCCCCTGCTGCCCTGTGAGTGCACGGAAGATCTGGATTCCGTGTCTGTTCAAAGAGAGCAGAGGATTTGTCACAAAAAGGCTATAGCAAAGTCCAAGTAGACCCCACACACTCATCTTCCCTGCCTTGATTTCCCTTAGTTAAGTGACTTGTATTCTTGATCTCCATCTCATTTTTTCTCTCTTACCATATGTCTTCTGGGCTGTGATATTGCTCTGGATCGAGTCTGTTATTGGGTCATGGGAGTCAAGTTACAAGAATGTTTTGGCTTAGATCAAAAAGTTACAGAAACTCCCTCCTGCCCCAGCTATGCTAAGACACATCCTTGTCTTTCTTCCAGTTCTGGCAGTGTGGCCAGTGGGTGGAGGTGGTGGTTGATGACCGATTGCCTGTCATAGGCAAGAACTTCCTCTTTGTGCATCCTCGAAGAGGCAACCAGGAATTTTGGCCCTGCCTGATGGAGAAAGCCTATGCCAAGTAAGTGTGGGCAAGCCTCTCTGCATAGTTTCAATGCTGGCTCTGCCTGCCCAATGTCTTGTCCTCACAGATGCTTCCTGCCACCTGGCCCTGCAACTTACAGTATCTGTTTTGAATGTAAGCAATGTCCTGGGCATGGTATACCATACCTTTGATCCCAGCATTGGGAAGCTGAGGCAGGTGGATCTTTATAACCAGCTTGGTCTACATAGTGGGGCTCAGACCAGCCAAGGCTACATTAGTAAGACCTTGTCTCAAAACAAATAAATAAGCACTGTCCATTTGAGCATCATAGCCCTTGTTACCCAGTGAAGCAATCTCTGTAAACATTCAAGATTTGGTCCTAGAGCCACCAGGAGGGCCCCAGAGACACACAGTGAGGTGTGGCCTAGACAGCTCCAGGCCCATGTGACATGAATCATTAGGCAAATGTAAGAATCTAGATGAAATATAGCTGTCTTTGGTATCTGAAGGAGTGTTTCAAGAATTCTCCCATGGATATTAGAAGCCATGATGTTGGCGATCCCTATATGAAATGAAATAGTAGTTACATATAAACTACACACATCCTATATGCTCTAAATCATCTATACATATATTACATAAAATGCCTAGTATAATATAAATCCTATACAAATAGTTGTTGTACTGTATTGTTTAGGAAGTAATGACAAGGGATGTTTGTGCATGTTCATTACTGACAAAATTTGTTTCTAACACTTTCATTCCGTGGTTGGTTTAATGGTGAGTGCCAAGACTGCAGAGTCAGAGGACTGGACTGGCTATAATATGCTCACAGTCTGATGTGCCACAGATGAGGAACTGATCCTGACTCTCTGACCTACAGAGAAGCAAGCCAGGGTTGACTAACACAGGACACTTGAGTGAGATGGAAGGATGGGTAGGACTGTACAGTGAAGGGAGACTTGTGGGTGGAGGCAGGAAGAAGAGACAGTCTTGTGTGGAACACTTAAACTGTGGTCCAGGAACTGAAGGTCCCATGTGGCTGCTGTGAGATCTCATTTGTGTGGGGGAACCGTAGACTAGCAGGACTTTCTCCTTCTCTTGTGGTCCACAAAGGAAGCTCAGGGGCCACCTTGTGGTCCTGACAAGCTCAGAATCTGCTCACTTGTTTTCCTTAGGCTTTCAGGGTTACTTATTCAACAGATGCCCACTGAACATTTTACCATATGCCAGGCACTGTGTTTGGCACTGCCTCAGACACTTGAACAATCTGGCTCAAGCAAATATGTATAACGATATGCATGCGCACATCTATATGGAGCAAGGCATAGCTCTAAAGACTCTTACAATGCCTGAGAGAGGTTCAGCCGTTCTACAACCAAAAAAGAAAACATGCAAATTTTAAAAAGTAAGATAGCAGCCTTCTATGTTCTAGACTGCAAAAGTCAAAGCTAGGTAAGGCCAAGTGGATGCCAGCATGAGGGGAAGCTAAGAAACGGCCCTGATGGACACACCCTGAGATCACCTCCTAGGGCCTCCTGACTACTCTTAGAATACTCATGTGTCACACCCCATGAGGACACTCCTAGAAGGGCTTCAAGAGGCAGACCTGGGCTGGTCCTGATGGCACTGTGGATGTGGTGTGAAGTATCCATGCCAGGATGCACAGATACCATGGGGTGGGTGTACTCCATGGACAGCCACATGGCAGTCAGAAACCACGTATGCAGTCTAAGCCCACGCTAATCTTTGGAGGGTGGGCTCTAAACAAATGGGGCAAGAAACACTGAGCAGTAAGAAATGAAGTGTTTACAGACGTGGACATTACAGCTACTGTAGTATGCATTTTTTTTTCAAGAACCTGGAAGAAAGAAACATTGCAGATTAAGCATCCTGCAGTGCTTGGAGGGGGGAAGAAACCCAGCAGCCTACCTGACTCCAGGTTTCACCTCTGCTCACGCCACTAACTTCACCTCCCTCAGGATGCTCTGTCTGCCTCCTGGCTCCCCATAGCAGAGCTTGGCCTCCTGGCCTTGCTCCTTGTCTCAACCTCAGGCTTCAGTCTGCTCCTTCAACCCCATCTTCTGCTTTTTACGAGGCTCCAGCTGCAGAGAGTGGCCACCGAGCTGGCCAGGCTTACACTGGGTCCCCACTGGCCTTCTCAGGCATGGCCAGGGCTCAGTGGCCGTAGAGCCCTGTGAGCAAGCGCCGTATGGAAGTGTGTTCCCCAGGAGGATGCATGGGCAGAGACCCAGAGAAAAACATTTCACCGGGAGGGGGGGGAGGGGGGAGGGGGGAGGTCACAGCTCACAGGAGGAAGACCATGATGCAGTCCACACTCTTGGGGGAGAAAGGGAACAGGAGAAAGGGACATCGGGTTGGAAGCTGAGCCTCTGAGCTACCATGGGACAACAGGTGCAGGTAGTTTAATCCCTTGGTCACCTGCCCGGGACTCCATGTAGCAGGGTTACAGCCTGGTTGGGCTCACAATCTAGATGAGGTGGCTCCTCCAGACCTCTTTGTATCCGTTCTTTTTTTTTTTTTTTCTTTAAGGCAATTTGCGGGAGGGCTAAAGTTGTTTCTCCCTTCTTTGGTTGGGAAGAGCCGTGCATTGGCACTGCAGAAAGAAGCCTAGATAACAGCATGGCTGTTGAACCAGAGCCGGCGTTCCGGGAGGTTAATTCACTCCTACGCTACGTACACAAACATTGCCATTATCTTTCCAGGCTAGACCCCACCCTTATCACTTCTGGGCCTTGTTTCTTTTTTTTTTTTTCCTTATGTAAAAAGAGGGAGCCCAGGAGAATTAGAAAGCTTGAGGACGGAAATGATGACTTTGACCCCATTTTGTTAACAGCTGACCTAAAGCAATCATTCAGCTTGAAAAGAAATGGGAGAATGGGCCCAAATCCCACATTCCTCCCGCCTAAAGAAATCTAGCTGGGGATAAAATGCTTCAAACTATTAAGGCTATTTAAACGCTTTTCCCCACCCACCCACCCAAAGAGGAGAGCTGCAGAATGCGAAAGTGAATGCCAGCATCTCAGAGCCCCCTCCTGTGAGGGACTAGACAGCTGAGGCTCAGAGGGGACACATCACATGTCCAAAGTCACACAGTGGTCAAGACCAAGTTGGGACTAAGAGCTGCACCCCCCCCCATACCACCAGTTTCTTTCTGCTGGGCTCTTGATCTTTCCAGAAAGAGGTCCATCTTGTTTGTTGCCTGACAAGGAGACGGACCCCCACACAAATGTAGGGAGCGTAGCTGTCTGTGGCAGAGGCCGCTGCCCCCTCAGAGCGCATAGAAACATCCTATTATGTATCTCTGTTCTGGGGAGTCTGGAAGTAAGTTAATCAGTTCGGTCAAGTGTCAGGCAGAGCAATGAGAGATGGGGACAGGATCTGGCAGGCTGCATATGGGCCGTTTCAGTGTCTCTGTGGGTCAGAACTGCAGCATCTCAGCCTCCTGTTGGGCTCAGGTTTAGGCATCTGGAATCTTCTGTTTGGTCAGAACATGGAGACAGTCATTTCCTCACGGCAAGGCTCAAGAAGAGGGATCCAGACAGGCTTGCTCAGAATTCCTGGGTTCAGGTGACAAAGTATAGTGACAGATGTGATGAGCCCTTCTCTCTCTCTCTCTCTCTCTCTCTCTCTCTCTCTCTCTCTCTCTCTCTCTCTCTCTCTCTCTCTCTCTCCCCTCTCATTCTTCCTGTCAGCAACTGGGGCTATGAATAGTTGCCATGTTCCTGGAGCATCAGCAGGAACCATAAGCCTGCATCTGTAAAGAAAACCAACTCCTTGTCAAAACATCTAACTGCTACTGGGACAGGCTCTGTAGTCACCAAGGACAGACACAGAGAGAAGGTTCTGGAAGAGGAGAAGTGCTGAGGTGGGAGACTGAACAGGGAGCCCTTCCATCTCTGTGGTGACAGCAGAATAATGTGGGTACCAGACTTCAGGTGAAGCCCAGGGCCATCGAGATGGGGCATATCAGTGAAGAGGGGTCAGAACCCCCAGTTTCCTGGAGCAACCACCTTCATGGGTCTTGCTGAGAGCTGGGGGGACCCTTGGTACAGGCATGAAGGACTGGGGGAGTAAAGCACAAATAGACTTTGGAATGATCCTTGTTAACTCAGCTGCCCTCAGCAAAGACCTGTGATATCAAGAGTCAAGTCTTCAGACGCAACTGGGCATAACCCTGACCAAGGGGAGCCTGTGTCATTGACTGAGCAAAAACTGTGGATAAAAAGAATTTAAAGCCGATCAGATCCTGAGGTCGCAGGGAGGCCAGGGAGGGGACAAGATCGGCACTCGTTTTAAACAATGTGGGTAAATGTCACCAGTGTCCCTGCTGGTTTGCCCTTTTGGTCTGTGGTTCCTTAGGTTCCTGTAATGAGAGGTTTTTCTTAGCAACCCTTGACATGTGTGCCTGGGACACAGTGGCTGCTTAGCACATGTTTGCTAACATGATTTTTTTCTGGAATTCTCTGTGGTTCTAGGAGGAGACTGACCAAGGTAGAAATAGGATGAGGCAGGAGTATCTGTGGGCCCCAGGGTGACCGAGTCCATCCTGCTGTGTCTAGTGGAAATTCCAAGAACAAAGCAGAAAAGACTCATCTCCAAGGCCGAATGCCTTGTTATAGGCAGTGGTGAGAGCAGACCCAGGCCCAGGCTCCCATTTGATTTTATAGGAGAAGAAGCAAAGGGTCATGGTAGGGACTCTGACTCCCACCAGTGAAAAGATCTGCATCTGCTTACTCGTAGGGGACAGGTGCACTGGGATCTGGCAGGGACAGAGGGAGGGCAGCTCCTACATCCAGGAGACTAACCCACAGACCGCCATCTCCCTCCTTCATGTCTTGCCATGGCGTCGTTTAGGAACCCACAGTTCACCCCACCTGAGAGTCTGACCCTACAACCCCAGCTTCATTGATACCATTGTTACTGTTCCCATGCCCTTCCTCCCAGAGACTTCAGACGTCCCCCAGCCCAGTTGTCTGCCCTCTAGGTCCACCATGCTTTACTGCAGCACTTCTCAACTCATGGGTTGCAACCCCTTGGGGATTGTCAAACGACCCTTTCACTGGGGGCACATATCAGGTACCCTGCATATCAGATATTTGCATTGCAATTCATAACAATAGCAACATTGCAGTTATAAAGTAGCAATGAAAATAATTTCTGGTTGGGGGTCACCACAGCACAGGGAACTGTACTAAAGTGTCGTAGCATTAGGGAGGTTAAGAACCACTGTTCTACTGGCTCTGAGAGCCTCTCCAACTTTATTTTCCCTCCCTGGGATACCCCTGGCACTCTCTTTACCCACATGAACCTTCAGGGCTAACCTGACCTCCCCTTTCCAGGCTGCTTGGCTCCTATTCCCAGATACACTATGGCTACCTTCCTGATGCCCTGGTGGACCTCACAGGAGGAGTGGTCACCATCGTCAACCTGCACTCCTCCCCTTCTGAGATACTTACAGCAGTGAAGACTGCAGTCAAGGCAGGATCAATGGTGGCCTGTGCCACCCCAAAGGGGGTGAGTATCTGGGGGCTTCCTTGGTACCCGAGACATTTTTCTTCACCTGGGAGTGTCCATCCAGAGTCCTTAGCTTGAGAGGAGACAAGAATTCCAATGAGGAGGAAATGAGCTCAGAGAGAGTTTAAAGTCAAATTTCAGAGTCACACAGCTAGAGGGCACTGTGCACAACTGGAATGTAGTGGACCCCCAAATCCTCACATACTGCTTCCTTATGACCAAGAATAGCATGTGGGCCAGGGTGACAGGAAGGCTTTCAGGGTGTCAGAAAAGGCAACTATAGCTATAGGTAGCTCCAGTGTGTTTTCTTTATATTTATAAGAAGTCCTGGTTGTCGCCACCCATGGGGTGGCAGGTCTCATAGTTTGCGTGCCCTCCAAATTATTTGAGTCTATTCTAAGATGCCTGGGTCCCTGTCACTTCCTATCCGCTTAAACACTGGCCAAATCATACTGTTCCTTCCAGGAGGCAGGGGTGTTGTTCGGGGCGGGAGACCCCGCTGACATGTGTTATGCAGTGTCTTGCTCATGGCACACAGTCAGTGGAGCAAGCAGCGCTTGTCCTCAGAGTCCTGTGAGTTTCATAGCCAGTGGGGTAGGTAGCTCCTGGGCATGAAACACTGCGACCTCCCACCCAGTAGCCTCCATACTCCTGGGAAGGGTTTTACACACACACACTTCCTGCTGGAGGCGGGGATAGTTCCCTAGCTTTGCTGCTACCTGAATGTATATTTCTGTGTTTCCAAAGAACTCTGTCTGCTCTTCTCTTCTGCAGCTGACAGACGAGTCTGAGGTGATGGAGAATGGACTGGTGAGCCAGCATGCCTACACAGTGACTGGAGCTGAGCAGGTAAGGCTGAACTGATAGCTTGGCATCTGTCCCCTGGGCTCCTCTGAACAAGAGCCAGCGTCAGTCAGACAACCGCAGCAAGCCCAATAGCTGACGGGAGTGTTTCTTTCTCCCACAGTCCCATAGCCCCCACCTCCGGCAGTCTCGGTTGCTTGTCTAAAGTTGTGGCACCTAGGGTCCCTTCTCCCCCGTGACTCTACTTCCTCTACATCTTTGTTCTGTGAAGTCATCACAATGGTAGATGTCTAGTTAGATAGGAGATTTACTCCAAAGGGAGCTAGAATGAATCATCTAGTTGACTCTGAAGAACACTTTACCCTGAAATTTATGTTATTTGTGGCACATAAAAACTAAACTCGTAGAACAAAGGCCCTCTAAACTACACATACTTAAAGAGGATAGCATTCACTTCTGTCTCAGGTACGCAGGCGATCCTAGGTCAGTCGGTGTCTTAATCACTGTTGCTATGAAAAGATACCATGACCAAGGCAATTCTTACACAAGAAAGTATTTAACTGGGCCTGGCTTACAGACTTAGAGGGTTAGACCACAGTCACCATGGTGGGAAGCAGACAAGCATAGTGCTAGAGCAGTAGCTGAGAGTTTTTCATCCTGATCCACAGGAGAGACAGAGAGGAGGGGGGAGGGAGGGGGGAGGGAGAGAGGGAGGGAAGAGGAGAAAGAGAGAGTTGTGTAAGAGAGTGTGCAAGTATGTGTGTGTGAGTGTGTGTGTGAGAGAGAGACAGAGAGACAGAGGGAGAGGGAGAGAGACAGAGGGAGAGGGAGAGAGACAGAGGGAGGGAGGGAGGGAGGGAGGGAGGGAGGGAGGGAGGGAGGGGGAGAAAGAGAGTGTGTGTAAGAGAGTGTGCAAGTATGTGTGTGTGTAAGAGAGAGAGAGGGAGAGAAAGAGGGAGGGAGGGAGAGAGAGACGGGGAGGGAGAGGGAGAGAGAGAGAGAGAGAACACCTGGACCTGCTGTAGGCTCTTCCCCAGTTGCACACCTCCTCCAACAAGGCCACACCTCCTAATCCTTCCCAGATGGTTCCAATAACCAAGGACCAGTCATTCAAATACATGAGCCCGTGGGAGCCATTCTCCTTCAAGTCACCACAGTGGGTAACTGTGACATCCAGAGCATGGGATTCCATCTGTGAATTCAAGACACATGGTACCCTTGTCTTCTAGCTCGGGGAAAGAGAGAGGCTAGCAGCCACCCTTTGCTTCCCATAGTGGACAAGAATGAGAAGAAACCCACCCACCCACTCCCATGGCCCATCAACCTGCATTTAATCCCCCAGCCATACGGTGACCCAAAGGATGCTCAGACGTGTGCGGTGACCCAAAGGACGCTCCTGTCTGCTCAGGGGCAACTTTACTCCACAAAGAGGAGGGCAGTCTATAGAACTGACTCCAAATGAATGTGTGTGTGGTTTCTGCATAAAGTATGGTCCGTCTAGAAAACATTATGGAAGCCCAGCTCCTTCCGTTCTAAGAAGAGCTGATGGGAGGAGGCTTTCTCTGAAAGTCACAGAGATGGCTACCTGTGGTATAGCTGCCTGGCACCTAGCCTGAATGTCTGCATCTGCAATCATCAAACAGCTGTACAGTGACAGCATTTCCTGACCTCCCAAGGGTTTCCCACAGCACTCTCTGTCACTCTATTTCCCACTATTCTTGAAGCCAAACATGGCTTCTATATCCTAAGAGAGAGTTCCAGACTCCTGGGCAAATCTCTTACAGATACCTGTAAACTAAGGAATGCAGAGTGCCAAGTGGCCTCTGTGACCTTCTCAATTTGTCTTGACTCTTTTGTGACAACCTGTCCCTCCCATCCAACTTAAAGCCAGTGACCCCAGTGTTTCAAGCCCTAGTTCACAGCATGGGGGAACCTTATTCTGTTCCCTACCTGCCTCCAAAATGGTAAATCAGCACCAATACACTTGAAGACAGTAGGCATCTAATAGATGTTTCCGGAATGGATGGAGGCAATTGCATGCATGAATGAATGCATTTGCCCTTGGCCTGGGAAGACGGTATTACTCTTCGCCTGTCACAGAATATATGAGAGTAGCCAAGAAGGCATTTCTATGAGCAAGGTCATGGTGGCTGCAGACTCCGGTCCTCGGAGCCGTGCACCAGACCCTCTGTTCCACTATCCCAGCCTCTTCCGTGCACAGTCAATACTGTCATCACACTGGCCATGTGTAGACACTCCATTTCCTATGGCCCTACTATCCCAGATGTGGATGAGTCTCCAAATCGCAAATAGATTTTATTTCGTGTGGCAGCTGTTATCACTTAACTATGCTGTCTGGGTTTCCAGGTTGACAAGACTTTGATACTGCTTAACAGAATTGGAGAAAGAGAGGTGTAATCAGGTAGTGATACCTGGGGTGAGCATGGAATGAAAGAGCGGTCTGAACAGAGCAACTGACCTGGCATGGCAAGTGATCAAAACCATGTGACCTGTATAATCCCACCCTGTATGTCTGAGCAGGTGTCACATTGCAGAACACACCTTCGGGAGATGTGCTGGGAAGATGGATACATTTGGAGAAAGCTTCTCACCATTCCTGCCTCCTGCAGACGCAGGGTACATTCACAGTTTGAAGGCCTTCCTTCCTTAGTGCTACTTGGTTTTAATCAACCATTAACAACGAAACCACTTTTTCTGGAGTAGAGCTACTAATAGGCAATGGAACTAGCATTCATTCAAGAAAATACATCTAAGAAGCGGCTATTTAGAACAGACAACCTGGGCTACCTCTTGTCCAATGACACCTTTGCTGAGAAGGTTGACCAAGGTCAAGAGGATGCTTGGGAGCCACCCCATTCTTATCCCTATCCATGGCCTTAGCTTCGACTGTGACCTCTGCACCCCTGGCCACAGCCTGCATAGCTACCAGCTGGGCGGGGTTATAAAGGACACAAGGGCTCAGGGATTTGACTTTGTGAGTGACTCCCTCCCCCTCCACAGCGACAAGGCTATAACTCTGAGCCACAAGTGCAAAGATTAAAGCAGCCTGTAAATGTAGTATGCTTTTTAATCTGCTCATCCTCCCTCCAGGCAGGACACAGACAGGAAGATAAATGAAATTGGCATTTTTTATTATGCACCTAGCTCTGCTGGCAACTCCCCTGGGCCAAGGGGTGAGTGTTTATCTGCATGCCTCATTTAGCCCTGTTCTCAGCCTTTCTGAATCACTGGCTGCTTCTCCTCTCTGTGCTCAACTGAGCCCCCAACTCCACTGGGCACCAAAGGGGGCTCTCGTTAAGCTCTGTGGCACCCAAGGTGACCCTGCTTTGTCAGTGCCAGCAGATGATGGCAGCTGAGGGGAGACTTGGGGTAGGCCAGAGAAAATGAGAACCTGGGCTTGTGCCAGGAACCTCTGACCTCTGGAGGAACTACAAACTTCCAATTCATGCTGGTGACAGACAGGGCAGATCTGGAAAGGAAAAAAGAATGACCTTTTTCCAAGCCAAGGTCCAGGCCCTGTCTCATGCTGCTCTTCAGAGGGTACCTGTGAGAGATCACTTGGACCCCAGCAAGGCGACTCAAGGGTTTATTAGAGGCCAATGTCACAGCCACATCAAGGAGTCTTTATCTGTATCTAATTCCAAAATTTAGAGCTAGGCCTAGGGGACTAACAGCAGCTAGGATGGGGATTCTCCTGTCCTTGTCTACTCAGTGGCCTTGGGAAAGTTTATTTACCACCCTACTTCTGTTTCTTCCTCGGCGAGACAAGGATTGTAGGACTACCCGCCTCAGAGACCTGAGGATAACTCAGCTGGAACCTCGACACAGTCTCTGCTTGTCCAGTGATAGGCTGTTGAGTTTCTCAGCGCCTCTGCCATGGAGTCAGTGGGCAGCTCCTCCTTCCCTAGGCCCTCCGTCTCCGGAGACAGCATTAGCATGGATCAATAGCCCAGCTACAACTCAATCGTGCCTCCGTCCCTCTCTCCAGGCTGAGGCCTCCTTGCTCCTGGAAGTATGGGCTGGATGGTTTGTTGCTATCTGGTGTAACACTCTACAGCCCCTGGCCTCTAACTAACGTAAGAGCACAGGTGAAGCCTTGCATGTTGGAGGTAGGGATGAAGCTGAAGGGTGTAGCCGGCGCTTCTTTCCAACCCGGTCCCATGGCCGATTAGCCCCAAGTAAGCACAAAGAGACATATTAATTATAAACTGGCTGATGGTTCAGGCTTCTTATTGGTTAGCTCTCTCTTAATTATTAACCTGTTTCTATTAACCTAAGTATTTCCACCTGGTCTTATCTTCCCAGACAAGGGAACCTGTTACTCTTTCCTCAGCTACAGGGCGTCTTCTCTCCACCTCCTCTCCCCAGAATTCTCATCGGGCAGCCCTGCCCTGCCCACATCTCCTGCCTGGCTACTGAGCAACCATTGCTCCACCCATCAACCAATAAGAGAAACATACATACAAGAAGGACATTCCTTTATCAGAAGGGAGGGTTAGTCAGGCTATTAGAGGCCACCTTCTCACAGACTGGGTTGTCTGGCCAGGAGCAAGATGGGGAATGAGGGAGGCTAACTAGCCTTGGCTACCCCAGCTCTGAGGCTATCCCTGTCTCGGTCACGTCAGCCTTCTCACTCACAACAAGACTGTACCGCAGCCCCTGGCAGGCTGCCGGCATGGATGCAGGCTGTACGGTGGGGTGGACATGCCTTCTGTGAGAGGGATTAGAAGAGGCAGGGGACCACAAAGCTATCTCCCTTACAGCCGAATGCAGCAGCCTGTGCTAGGTGTCTGCGGTTAAACCTGAGTTCACCCAGCTCCGGGAGACAGCATCCAACATGATGGAGCTACCCATGCACCTGCTGGGGGCTGAGCAAGACAAGGGTCATTTTCATCCCCCCCCCCCATTCCAGCTCCACACAGGCAGCAAGAGAGACATTGATTTTTTTCCCTTCTTTTCATTTTTCTCCTGGCTGCAGCCAAATGAGGTCAGAAGTTAAATTAGTCCTGGGAGGTAAAAAGGGGAGCTGCATTCATACTTCAGCTCTCTGCTGACTTTTGCCAGAGAGCCCTGACAGTTGCTTTTTCTGTTTCTCCTTACAGATTCAGTACCAGAGGGGCTGGGAAGAAATCATCCGCCTTTGGAACCCCTGGGGCAACACAGAATGGAAAGGGCGCTGGAGAGATGGGTATGAGTGCTGGAAACACGGGCAGATGGGGGTCCTTCGCTGAGCACCTGGGCAGAGTCTAGCCAGCCCACTGCAGTCTTCACGATGCGCCTGGCCAGTTCATCGCTGGCTATGGCTCTGACTGTACTTACACCCCCAGGAATCACTTTCCAGGCATTCATTAGGCACCTACTATGTGCGTGTGACAGAATGTACAGTGGCTTAGGTAGATGCTGTGATGTGCATGCAAATGGGAAGACCCAATGTGTGTCTCCCAAAAGGCCCTGAGATCTCATATAGCCACGATCAGCAAAGAGGGTAAGGAGGCAGGATGGGAGCTAGGCTTCCCACCGGGGAAAGACAAGCGGAGTATAAAAGCATCCTTCCTGGAAGGGATTCTTAGGATGCAGATGCTGACAATGCCACAGGATCAGAGTGGAGTAGGCAGGCAGAGCTGAGGAACCGAGACAATGATCTGGTGATCTCTTTATTGAGCAGACTCAGATGCTCACCCCCGACCTTTGACCTGGACTCAGCGCACCCACGTGCCTGTAGTGCACCTCGCTCATGATGGGAGTTGCTGAGTGGCTAGGTCTCGACACCCTGCTGAGCGCCTGGGTACCCAGCGTCTTCATCCAGGTGCTAGAATGGTCATTCTCAGCTGTCATAGCCTGACCTCTGGTACCCTACTGCCTGTCATGAGCAATTAAATATCCAGTTTCCATGCGTGAGAGAGAACATTCAATATTTGTCTTTCTTTTGTCCCTTCCATTGACTTTTCTTCCTCCCACCTCAGTCCCCAGGGTCTCGTGACTGAAAGGGAGAGGGTGAGAGGGGGACAGAGAGGCAGCAGTGCTTTATTTGCTTCTCCTGGTGGCCAGTGGGGGTGGATCTGTCACATTCCACTCAGGATCTGTGCAGACCTGTAAAAGCCATCACTGCACAGCGGCTGCAGCCTCATCGCCAGTCAGGGGTGGGAACGCGATGGGAAAGGAAATGCAATGTGCCGGACAGACAGAACAGGACCCAACAAGTAGTGAAAATCAATAGTTTTCACAGTGAGCTCTGGAAGGCACACCAGACAGCCGGTGTGACTGGACCAGCCGCCGACACCCCAGTTGGACTCTCTGGGCCAAGCTGATTCATTGTGGGCCCTGCAGCTGGTGTGTCCCTGGCCTCGTGGATACTTAACAAATAGTGTGCGATGAAGTTATGATGGAGGTGGGGAGAGAATGAGGAAGGAATGGAGGGCGGCAGGGAGGGAGGGAGGGAGGGATGAGGAGAAACATTAATCAGGACATGTCTTTACAATAAACATGGCTGGTGCCTCTGATTCTCCCTGGAGAACAGAAGTGACATGAACTTGGGAAAACATGCGCCCATGCACCAACCCAGCCTCACAATGCCTCCCTTACTGTCATCTTTCTTCTTTTCTCTTGCCTCTATTCTTTAAATTATGTATTTTTCTTCTTTCTTCCATTCTGGGAATTACACACAGGGCTCATGCACGCCAGGCAAGCTCTCAGCCACTTCGCTGCACTCTCAGCCTTCTTGGTGATCTGTTTGACGCAGGGTCTTGCTGTATTTGGTCAAGGCTTGATTCACTCTGTCACCCAAGCTGGCCTTGAACTTGCCACCCTTTAGTCTCAGCCTCTGGGGTGGCTAAAATCATGCACCTGTGCCACCCAACCTGTATTATCCTTTACTTTTTCCAAAGTAAATCTGAGTAAGCTCTGGCTGTCCCCAGTTCCCCAGGCCCAGCACCCAAACTGCTTAATGTGACCCAAAGGACATTTTGGTTGGCTGATAGAAATAAAGCAAATCAGACCATTGACAACAGGTTCCATGGGGTGAGGGCAGACAACAAATTCAAAATGGTTAATATCTCCCTTGTGTCTTCCACCACCACCAAACGCCACAAGAGACATCGTCCTGTGGGTGGGCATATTCAGGGAAAGTGTGACAGATGGCAATGAACAGGAGGTGTCCTTGTGACAAGGGTATAGGTGTGTTTCAGAAAAGACACTAGGTAGGGCCCCTCTCCCTAGCCAGGAATCTGCTGGGCTACAGCAGAGGAAGCAAGGATGGGGAGAATGGGCCTGAATTGGATTCAAACCCCACAGGAATGAGCATGGATGGAGCCCCTAAACAGGAGTGTGGGTGCAGAACAGTATCCACCCTGTAGGATCAAGTCCCTTGGCTGAGTGTCCGCCCCCTCTCGCCAGAACCAGGCTGGAAGGAAGTGGTGGCGACCGCATAATCACTGTCTCTATGCAGGTGGTCGATTTCTTCCCTACTCCTTAGGAATGGAGACGGATGGTGAGAGCCGGATGGTCTAATCTCAGCCATAATTGAAATTTCAGTCGCACACACTTAAAGGCAAACTTGCATGAATCAATAGCGTATTGATTTACACTACATTTATTTTCCCTTACACACTGCAGAAAATGTAATTATCGCTTAATTATAAAATTGCCATTTTACAATAACACATCTGACTGCTTCAGCCAGCAACCAGGAGCCTGGGTGGTGGTCTCTGCCTTGCTGTCCTGACACAGAGGTCACCCGGGTTCCCAGTACAGGCTCCTCTACGGGAAAGATCTCATTAAACTCTTATGCCTCTGGGGCCAGTAGCCTGTGGAGCTTGCTTCTACTTTGAGACACACACTGAAGGAGGAACAGCTGTTGCCTTTTGCCTAGAAGGGTCTCTTTCCCATCACGCCCCAGAACTTGTTTCTGGAACACTACATCTCTGTAGTTTAGTTAACTAAGCAAAAAAAGAGAGAAGAATCATTGCATGGAGTATATGTTGTGGTGTATGTTAGATGCCTGTGATGGTATCTGGGAAAGCAAGGCCACTGCTCTCTGGGTAACTGGAGTCTAAAAAGAGGAAAGAAATAAAAAGTGGCAGAAGAATAGCCCCACAGAGGACTGGGTGTACGGAAGCCCCAAAGGAAGGGTCAGGTCTCGGTGTGCAGCAAGCAAGCTTTAGCCAGGCGTCTCACACAGAGCACTCATTAGGTGAAAAGACGCCTGAGAGGTAGCATTGATGGGAGTGTCCCTGGCACAGGGGCATCATGATGAAAGCCAAGACGTGCGTGTGGGGAGGACACAGGGGTAAAACCCTCTTTAAGGAAATGAAGATATCCGTGATTGCTGGGACAGGAGCAGCCCAGTTAACCCTGGAGAAGTTGGCTGGAGGAGGCCATGGTCTTCTTAAGGAGTTTGAACTTTGCCCTGGCAGGACCTGGATGCCACCAGCATGTTTTAAGCAGGGGAGTGGTGATATGGTCAAGCTCCGCTTGGAAGGGCCTCGTTTCGGTGGCCGTGTGGAGAATGGCTAGGGAAGTGGGCAGGACCATGTTCAGGGAGAGCAACCGCATGTCCACGAGGGAGGAAAGATTAGGCCGAATTAGAGTAACAGAAGGGAGAATGGGGCCAGGGCATCTGGGAGATAGGCCTAGGAGGTAGACTCAATAAATGAGTAACATTTGGTGACCTTCAAGAGGTAGACACAGCAAAAGGCTCTTGTGTTCAAGCCTGGTAACAGGAGCAAGTAGAATAAGCTGATTGAAGGTAGGAGGTAGTTTTTATTAGTGTCCACTAATCATATAAATTGTGGCATCTTCATGCATGTGTAAGATGTATTCTGATCTCTTCCTCCACTTTACCACCCTCTCGTGTCCTCCCTCCCCTTCCCCATTGCTAATTTATGGAATTGGCCTAGGCAGCCACCAGTAGATACATTGGTAACAAAGGGTTGTATGCATGCAGCAGAGTTTTATTCAGTCATAAAGAAGACGAAAAACATGCTATTAGCAAGAAAATGACTATCACACTGAGTGGGAAGAGCCAGATCTTCAAGGATAGAAGTCGGGTATTCTCTCTCAAAAGTGACATCTAGAGTTTAACAAAAGTGGGCAGGTGATTTGAGGTCACCATGGGCCTCTTGCAGTGATGTGGGAGAGGTCTCACTCAGGTCTTTCTCTCCATACTCAGGTCCCAGGAGTGGGAGGAAACCCATGACCCACGGAAAAGCCAACTGTATGAGAACAAGGATGATGGCGAGTTTTGGTATTTATTCTTCTTTAAGGATGTTTGAAGTATTCATTTCCCAAGCCCACCTTCCCAACTGCTTCCCTTAAACTTTTATGAGGATGGAAATTGGTGTTGCAAAGACCTGCTTAGAGCCTATTTTCTGTACCAGGCACAACAACTTTGAATGGAAAATGGCTATGTCCCCTCTCCTTGATGGGAAGGTTATCTTGGAGATGAGACATGGGCTTTCCTGGAAATTTTGATGGTAAAAGCTAGTTTTCTCAGAGGTCTGAATTTGGAGGCATGATTGTCACCTCTGATTTCCATCATGTAAGGACTCAGCACTCCAGTTTGCTTTGGCAAGACTCTCCCAGAAGAGTAACTGCAGGTACATCTTCCAGTTGGGCCTGGGTGGGATAACACTGTCCTTAGCTAGTGGCTACTCAAGACTCCACACCTTGAAAACACATGTCATGCCTTATGTGCACATCTTAAAGAAGATGGCCATTTCTTGGAGGGTTCTCTAGTTTACTTAGTGATGTATTTTGGTGAGATATAGCATGTGTACATGAAAATGGAGAGAAACAGCAGGACAGATCTCTAGAATAAGCCTGACTGGGACCTGAGATGCTCCCTGGAGAGCAGAAGAAAGGAAATGAACTTGGGAAAGCATTGGCTAAGACAGAATGCACAGACCAACACAGGTTCAAACCAGACAAAAATCCAAACACCGAGAAGGGGAAGTGAACACCAAGTCCCACCCTTAATCAAGAAGCCCTTTGCAGGAAAGGGGATGTCTGTTTTCTACAATCGAGTGTCACTTGGCATATCAACTTCACCCCTAGGGCAGGCCCCATAACAAGAAATAGTAAACCAACAGACTCTAGTTTTTGGTGTGTTTGTTTTTTGGGTTTGTTTGTTTTTTAGTTTGTCTTTTTTGATTTTCATTTTTTGTCTTGTTCTTTTTTAGAAAGAGAAAGGACATGATGTTGGGTGGGTAGGGAGGTGGGGAGGAGTTGGAGAAGAGGTAAGAACATCGAATAGACTGAACAAATTTAAATAACTAAAAAAGAAGAAATTTAGCATGTGTGAAATAGTGAAAGAAAGCCGGGGTCTAAGTTACTAAGAGTCAGAGAGGCAAGTGTCAATCAGAAGGGCAAATCTTCCCCCAATAACTATTTTAACCCTGGCACAGGCCAGGGTTTCACTGTGGCATCCATGTGTTTTCTTAAAGGCATTGGCAATGGGTTTGCAATTAGGAAAGGCAAGGTTGCAGAGTGTGGAGGACCAAGTGGAGAGAGCCTGGCCTTCGTCCCACTGACCCTGAAAGGACTCAGTTGGATTATTGGGTTGAATAAGTGGTTTTGCCAGGTGACACAATAACCAGACTTGTCTCTCCCGGTGCCCTGTCAAGCATGGGAGAGGAGAGTCCCAGGGCAGGAGCACGTGGCACTGAATGTGTCAGAGACAGACGTTAGGCCTGGGGCAAGCCAACACAGGGGCACTTCTGCTGACTGGAGAGGCACAGTGACATGGTAGGAAGCCCAACCAGGGGACACAGGCAGAGGTGACTTGGGCTGTGTGTCTGTTTTCCACAGGATGTCATGTCAAGACTTCCAGGAGAACTTCTCATGCCTGTTCATCTGTAACCAGGTCCCGATCACCCTGGATCATGGAGTCACACCCAGTGAAAGATGGCGCCAAATGATGTTCAAGAACCAAGTGGTCTCAAGAAATATGGCAGGTGGTCATTCTGCTAGACCAGCAGCTGTCAGCCCTAGCTCTGCCCTGACTTCTCTCTGACTCTTTCCTCAGGCGAGACCACTAGCCCGATGAAGAAATCAAAGGAGTTAGCTTCAAGGGACAACTAGCTCTTTTCCAAGCACAGTGACTGCTAGTAAGAGTGGGCAGGGTAGTCACCTCTCCTGGTTTCCGTACCTTATAGGTCCTGCTACTCAGCACCAGGGTGGAGCGCTGGCTCTCTGCTCTCCAGTAAACACCCAAGACAGGAGGAAAGGCTGTAGAAGGAGCATGGGAAAGGAATTCAGAGCCTGGTTAAACCATCATCATTTCCACACACTAGCTTTATGCCTGGGAATGTCACTGTTTTCTCTGTCCTTGGGCTCCATGGCTGTAAATGGTATCACTAATAATTCTGCTTGCCCCCTTGAACCCACAGAGTGCCAGCCAGGCACAGGGTGGGTAAGTCTTGTCCTGCTCATGAGTAGCAGTGGCAGGCACATCTCTCATGACCCTTTACTGTCCCTCAAGTTCCCTGTTAGTGACACTGATGACTGAAACTGCTTCCTGTGGCATAGAGTCTGGGTGAGATAGTACATCCTCCACAAAAGAGGCTGTAAGTGTGTCGGTTTGAGAGGATGTATGTTTACACTCGCCTGTCCAGAAAGGCACGATTCATTTTTGATCTCCAGGCTCTTTTGATCCCTCAGAGAGCCTTGTCACCAAGGAGGCAGCAGACTATGAAACTGCTGAGTCATTCTTACTTATTCACCTCCCTAAGCAGTGCCCGCCTAACTATGCCACAAAAGCCCTTTCCCCTGGATATAACGTGCATTAGTAAACCAACCCGATTTACACAGCAAGGCCATTTACAGTAATACCTCACAGGGAAGTGAAGGAAGGAAGCCAGCAATTGAGTACCTGCTATAAGCTGCTAAGTGCATTTTAATCGGCATCTTGTTCAGTACTCATAGGAAGGCCATGACCATGGTCGTCTTCTGTGTCTCTCTGCTCGTTTTCCAGAGCTCACTAATGACCCATGACTCCTGAAGAATATCCACTCATCTATAGCCTGACTGGCCTGCCCTGCTTCATGCACTTGAGTCTAATAGTTTCCATGGAGCCCTCCTCTTGCTCTGGCTTACATAAGCATGCTTGCGGATGAGAGCACTGTAGATGACCATCTTACCACCCGATTTCGGCTATCTTCACTGGTGCTTGGTGACTGATGCCATTCAAGGCTCTAATGGTTGTTGCCAGCACAATAAGTTCATGCATACTTGGAGATTTTACTAAGAAATAGGGCTTAGAGCTGGCCATGATGGTGGGCTCTTACAATCCCAGTACTTGTGGGGAGGTGAAGACAGGTAGGTTCCTGGGCTTCACTGGCCAGCCAGCCTAGCCTGTTGGAAAGTCCTAGGCTACTGAGAGACCCTGTCTCACAAAAATTAAATAGATAAATAAATAAATAAATAAATAAATAAATAAAGCAAGCAGTGGGCAGAATATGACAAATGGTACTTGAGGTTGACCTCTGACCTCCACAAATGTATACACACACACACACACACACATACACACACTCACACTCACACTCACACTCACACAGAGCTGAATTTATTGTTTAGGAGATATTTTTGCTCGAGTAGGGATAACATTCCCCTCCATGTTTTTAAAAGAAAGAGACTGAGGCTCTGGATATAAAAAACCTGTTTCACAACTACTGATTGTGGCTTTGTGGACCCAGGCCTTAGCTTTCCAAGCAGAGTTTAGAACCCAATCCCATAAAGCACTGTACTGGGAGCCCAGGGGTGTTTCTTAACCCTGGTAATGGCTTATTCTCTTCTAGGTGGACATGGGAGGGATATTCAGTATCTCTTTGGTGTTCAAGAGCCCACTGACGGCAACAATGTTGTTGTGGCCTTCACGATCATGTCACAAAGCTTGAAGACAGAAGAGGAGATATTCCCATTACAGTTCCAGGTGTTCAAGGTATGCAGTCTGTTTTGGGACTTGCTCTTTGTAGATACTGTGTACACTTGGAACTGCATAGAGATACTGGTCAAGCTGGGAGGTTTAGTAATAAAAACATTCATGCGTCCAGCCCTAAAATTTTAAGAAAGATTTAAACTAAAGGAAAATCAGACCTGACTATTTTTTAATTTTATTCTGTGACTCATATTTATATGTGTGGGTATGTGTACATGTGAGTGACGATGCCCATGGAGTCCGGGAGACGGTTGGATCCCTCTGGAGCTAGAGTTACAGGCAGTTGTGAGCTGCACTATGCAGATTCTGGGAACAGAACTCTGCAAGAGCAGCATTTGTTCTCAACCCTGAGCCATCCCTCCAACCCCTTGGCCATATTTTAAATGGCATATACCCCTTACCTGTGCCACTGGTGTGGTACAGCTTTTCCCAGTATGCTTCAGACGCTAATGTCTGCGTCTCAAGAGGTGCTCAAAGTCTAAGACCAACTTCTGTGACTATGCAGATTCTTGAGCCAGTCCTGACCCCCTGAATCAGAATCTTGGGTGCAGCATCTAATGTTTTGCATTTTAACAAGTTCCTCAGAGGCTGCCTGCTTATGTCATTTTTGAAAATCATTGATTAAAGTTAAACACACACACACACACACACACTTAAATCCAGTAGGTGAAATCTTTTTCCTCTTATATGTAGACCAAAGCCCAGATACAGCTTAGTAGTTGACATTCAGGCTGTTTAACTGCTCATCCAAAGCCAGGTTTTCCCTTCGGCCCAAATTCCTCTTCTCCACTGCACTCCCAACCAGCTCCCTCAGTCCCACCAATGCCAACACACACACACACACACACACACACACACACACACACACACACACACACACACACACGGGACAGATAACTAAGGAACTCATTTAAAAGAAAAAGTTAGAAAGAAAAAGAAAATCAAATGGCTCTGCTGTCTCATCTCTCAAGAAATTCAAAGCATCCCGAAAGTAGAGTGAGTGACTCTCAAATCAGCCGTCCCACAGCCTCATTGTACCAATAAGACTATGAATCTCTGTGATGTCAGTCGTATTCCTCCCACCCCGTTAAAGTGAAGACACTATTGCACAAGCATATGAAATGGCATGCCAGAGCTGATGGTGAAGCTGAGACTGGTACCATTAGAGTTGAAGACACTATTACACAAGCATATGAAATGACATGCCAGAGCTGATGGTGAAGCGAGACTGGTACCATTAGAGTTGAAGACACTATTACACAAGCATATGAAATGGCATGCCAGAGCTGATGGTGAAGCGAGACTGGTACCATTAGAGTTGAAGACACTATTGCACAAGCATATGAAATGGCATGCCAGAGCTGATGGTGAAGCGAGACTGGTACCATTAGAGTTGAAGACACTATTACACAAGCATATGAAATGACATGCCAGAGCTGATGGTGAAGCGAGACTGGTACCATTAGAGTTGAAGACACTATTGCACAAGCATATGAAATGACATGCCAGAGCTGATGGTGAAGCGAGACTGGTACCATTAGAGTTGAAGACACTATTGCACAAGCATATGAAATGACATGCCAGAGCTGATGGTGAAGCGAGACTGGTACCATTAGAGTTGAAGACACTATTACACAAGCATATGAAATGGCATGCCAGAGCTGATGGTGAAGCTGAGACTGGGTACCAGATGCCCTTCAAGCCTGCAGTCAGACACGTCTGTCACCTTTAGTGGGTACCACAGAGCTCAGAAGCCTATTAGACACATTAGGCTAGAGATGGGACTAGCCTCCCAGACAACTCCAGTTGCTAACTGAGAAAAAGCCCATTTATGGACCGACAAGTTTCCTGCCTCCTCTGCTCATGGGGAACTGTCCAGCTCACAGCTGTGGCTCTTGCTAGTGAGAAAGCCTCATTTACGGGGCATTGCAGAGTCACAAGCATGTTCTCATTGAGTGTCGCAAGACCAAGGATGTCCCCACTTTCATAGACATGAAATTCAGAGCTCAGAGGAGAACTATCTTTCCCACAGCTGGGGATGATGGGTAAAGTTGGATCTCAGCACCTATAGCCCAGGCCTGGGTTTCTCAGTGGGGCTTACATGCTTGCTTTTCTCATGGTACTCAGAGCAACAGAGAAATGAAGATTCTAGCTTTGGAAGAAAAGCCTGTTGAGCCCCTACTCTCTCAACATAGTTCAGAACTCTTGCTTAGTCCCACCCCTTTTACCTCATTCTTCAAGAGTCAGAGCTCCTACAGAAGATTGTTGGGATTCAAGACAATACTTTTAAGTTGCCTCGGGCCTGCCAAGACTACCAAAGGACATCTCCTAAGGATGCAGTAATAGACAAGTGCCATCCAGCACCTGCCTCCACTTTGATGGGATGAAGCGTGCAGGCTTCCACTGCAGTAGCTAAAAATGAAGCCAAATACCCCACATCCAGGCCTTGGATGGCAAAGGAGATCTTCTGTGACCTGGGTGTTTCCAATTGGGTATCCCTTCCACTTCCATTCCAGCCACCTCATCATACACACATGCCAACACTCAACTGCTAAATAATTAAACAAAAAAGGCAGGAAGAAGCAAGTGTAATTTACAACAAATCTCTTGGCCCAGAAGTAGCCATATAGGCCAGTATGTAAGATCATGTCTAGATGTGGAACCATCTTGTTCGACTCCCACCTGCCTTCTGAGCTTTGCTTTCCAGATGATTCCATCCATAACCCATGGGCAAACATTTTTATGGTTCAGGAGCCATTGTGAGGTAATCAACTCTATCTTTAAAAATTCCCAAAGCTCCCTTCTTTCCTTTGTACATGAGAGATGCATTATCTCTCAGCTGACACTACCAAAAGAGCACTCAGACCTAAGACTTCCTCAGGCTGTCGAGACCTCAATAGTCCCTCCAGGATCCTGATTGAGTTACATGTTAATAGCGAGTCTAGATCTCATCATAAGATGCTTGTGGGACTGCAGAGAAGGCTCAGTGGTTAAGAGTGGCTGCTGCTCCTGTACAGGACCTAGGTTGGGTTCCTGGTACCCACATGGTAGCTCACAGCTGTCTACACCTCAGTTCCAGAGTTTTCAATGCCTTCTTCCTTCTTGAGCTCTGGGCACACATGTGGTGCATACCTGTATATGCTGGCAAACGCTCAGATACATACATTTTTTAATCTTAAAAAATACTTCAGTTCTTTTTGCATTCCAGCCAGAGACAATGAGTTTGCTAGTATCTGGGCTTACGGGAGTCCCAAGGGGAGAGTTGTTATAATGCTGATGCCATTGAAATAGGATTCCAAGCTTAGTGTGAGCCTGTGGCCCCCCACACACCCCAGATGCAGTGGGCCCACTATTCTGTTTTACATCAGCTGGATACCAGTGGTGTGTGAACAGGCAGGAAAAAGTCAGGACAGATAAAAGGAACAAGAGTACATATTATTTCATCCTCATTCCCCAAAGGTCCTCCCACAAGCCAGGGTTTGACACCTCCCTCCCAGCAGCTATGGCTAAAGTGGGTCTGACCTCACCCACAAAGTGGGTTAGTCTGAGTGTGCAGAACTGAAGCTCACAGTAGAAGGTGATCAAAACCCAGGCTAACTGGGAAGGACTGTGCTTGATGGGAAGAGGGACACCACTGCAAAGGAAGCAACACAGCTTGACCTTTTCCCTTCTCTGCTTCCTGCCTTCCTAGCCTGTTTCCTCACACATGGAGCAAGACCCAAGCATCTGTTCAAAGGGCTGTGCTGGATAGCCAGAATATCACACACAGCCAGCATATCACACAGAAGGACTTTGGAAGTTGTAGAGGGCATACAGACAGAACTCTGTGCTTGGTGCTTCCTCCCACCAGGTGGAAAGGGGGGGAGCACAAGCATCCCCCATCCATATGTGCACATACACTCCCTACAAGGGGAGGGGAATATCCACAGAGCAGACGCCTATGTTTACACTTGGGGAGATCAAAGTTGTCCTCTCATTGGTGCTTGAGGGATTTGTACTTGACTTTGAAAAATCTGCCCTTGACTGAGATTGCATCTTATCTCTGGTCCTGTTAGTGTCCTCCAGCTTCCTCCTATATTACCATCGTAACTTGAACAATAGCCATATCTTGCTCTAAGATATAAAGAGCGTGCTGCCTCCTCTCGGCTATCCTCTTTCTTCTTCAGTTTCCTACTCTTTGCTGCTTCCCTTCAACAGTGCAGGTCTCCTTTTCTCCAGCTCAGCACAAATGAAGGCTCCATACCCACTCCTAACACGTGCCCTGCGTGGCAGACAGGCTGGCCACACAAGAAGTAGCATGTGCCCGGAACTAGGATGAGAGACACAGTTGTCTTTCCATTGTATCTTCCTGAAGCCTCTTTTCCTCTCTCCCACAGGTAAACTCCCAGGTATGGCTCACTGCTGTCCTCATGGACTTCCCACACTTCTGATGCTGCCCCTTGGGAAACTATTGTGCCTCTTCCAACACTGGGGACTCCACAAACCTGCTCTTGTTGCATCTTGAATGAGCTGTCAGCTTAGCATGTCCAAACAGGTCAACAAACTAGGGTAGGATTTGTCATCTTGGTATGTGGGTTGGACACTATTAGGATTCTTTCTTTAACATCCAAGATGGGTTATAACTGTGAAAGTATCCTGAAGCATTTGGTCCCCATAGAGAAGCTTGGTCCAGTGGGTTCCTGTGCATTTAAGATGAGAGCAGTAGAAAGGGGTACCCAGGGAGGACCTTCAGACTCTTGAATTAGTCCCCAAATCTACCACAAGCTGATGCTTGCTGGCTACATAGAGCTTCAAGGCATACCCTCTACCTCTTCTCTTGAGCAAACGGATATACTTTTTTATCCAGTAACCAGACCTGGTAACATATTGATAAAAGATCTGAAGGCTATAAGGAAGGATAGAAAGGGACAATGGACTTCAGAGGGCCTGATCCCACAGACATAGACTCTGGACTCTGCAGTAACTCTTCTCTGCTGCCAAGAGGAAGGTACAATGTATGGACTAGGGTCAAGATATGGTCATAGCCTGCAAATGGTAAAAGTGCCCTACCCCAAAGCTGTTACAAGATCCCAAGAAGTAGACAGTGTCTAGAGCAGCATCTCCCAGAGCAGGGAGACTCAGAAATACAGACAGAAAGTTGACATCAAAGAGGTCTGTCCCTTAGCCATGGCCCAGCCACAAAGCTGGGCTTAGAATCTGCCTCCAGTCCCTGGTTCCCCAACCATAGAAGGACGCCTAGGAGGGTTCTGAGGGGAGCTCTCAAGTGAATGGAATGGGTCAGAGCTCCAGTTCCCTGAGCTGGAGAACACAGAACATAGAGCGGGTTTGAGTGATAAAAGGGTACACGCCCCAATGCTAGGATAATAGGGCCAGCTCTGTGCCTTGCTGGCCATGAATTTGCATGAAGCAGGCTCCTCTGCACACTACACCAAGGTCTCCTGTCAGTCCCTAGTCATACTCCTCACTGCCACCGAGCAAGCCTGCACTGAACAAGGCTGCAGAAATATGATGGGTCAGGGGGAGGACAGCAGGTGAGCAAGGCCACCCTAACCTAGCTTGTAGCGGGGAGGCTGCTCACACACCTCTGTCCAAACACTCATACCTGGTGCCAGAGGGCAGAGCTGCCTTTTTCAGAAAAGAACCAGCCCTATTGTTTATTGCTTCTGTCAAACGACCTAAGAAAACCAGCTCCCCAAACCTACAAGGGCTGCTGTTGAGAGCAGAAAATCTGCTTTGGGGGTTCCACCATCCCTCTGCTGTCCACCTCGGACAGTGGTCCTCCTCCTGCCTAGCCTTATCCCTATCCCCTGATAGAAACTTCCGCATTCCCCCTATTCTTCCCCCAAGGCAGAGCCCATCAATAACCATTTCATGCTGTATAACCATTCTAAATGGAATCACCATGCTCACATGTTGTAGGAAAATTTGTTTAGTAAGGGGTTTTTATTATATAATATGTATGTGACATCTGGTAATAGGACTTGCGCTATATTTATTGTTTTATCTGTAAGAAAATTTGAAATAAAAGGAAAATGATTGAGACCCATTATCTTCCAATGAGAAGGAATCCCAAGGCTCTGCTAGAGAGATGAAAGAGAGGGAGAGAAGAAAATTCAACCTCGCAGTCCTGTGGCAGCCCAGGGAATGTGATTAAAGGTTTAGAGGAGACCTAGCTGTAGGGACCCCAGAAGGAATTCAACACTGGAACACTGCCACTAATTTCCATACCTTCTTTGCACATAAATAAGAAAGAAACCCAGAACCCCAGGATGCTATTAGATCAGTGAGATAAAGTTACCTGTCAAATTTTGGTGCATACACTGTAGTGTCTGGAATCTGCCACATCCAACCTTTTGACATTGTGACATTATTTTATCATCTATAAATGTGTTGGGCCACAGCCCTGGCTATCCGCGGACACATGTGACCCACAGACTGCAGGTGGGATGCACCTGGTAGATAAGATATTTTGGGGTATTTTTGTTTGTTTCATTTTGGACCTGAGTCACCACCGGCTCCTTTTCCAGGACTTGTAAAGCTAGTCAGGTGGGCCTACAAGGGTCTAGAAGGCAGTAGCCTGTCCTGGTGCTAGGTTTCAGGTATAGAAAGGCCTTTCTCACAATAATTTTGCTTTTTTTCTAGTTCCAGAAGTTCCAGGAAAGACTGCCACCTGCATTTTTCTCCCCATTTAGAAATGCTGCCCAGGGCATAGACTATGTATCCAAGTGCAACTTCACAAGGTCCTTCCACCTGAGCCCTGGGACCTATGTAGTGGTTCCCTCAGCACACAGAAAAGAAGTTGAGTTCCTGCTCCGAATATTCCTCAAAATGCCAGACAAGGACAGGTATAGAAGCCCTGGGCTTCTGAGTGTTTTATTCTGCTCCAGTGTGTCTTTATGAAGAGGGCTCTGTGTGTCATATGCAGAACATGGTGTGCTAAGGACACAGTATGAGTCTTGCTCTTGAGACACTCATTACAATGGGGAATGAGCAAGTCCATGAACCTACAGCTTGACCCCCACAATAATGTAAAACTGCATGAAAGGACAGAGTGGAAGGACTGCTTCTGGCCCTGGGGGCTGGGAAAGGCTTCTCAGAGGAACTGGTCCTTGAGCTGGTCCTTGAAGGTAAACAGATGTTAGTAACTTCAAGAGAAGACCATGCACGTAGAAAGAAAGCCTGAGAAGAAGCAGGGACATAGCAGTGCCAGGGCTTGTTGGATAAGTACTGCCAGTCATATGCATGGGAAGATTGTACCATGTATTATATTCACTTGTCTGAAACATGGCCAGAATGTGGGGTAGACCAGAAGGACAGATTGACCTGACAAACAGACATTCTATGGGGTCTTGGATGTTAAATCACGGGTCAAGATTGGGATCAACAAGTCCTGTCTCTTTGAGCCTGAGGCAGGAGTTATATGGTCAGAGAGGTCTTTATGGCCAATGAGTAAGGGTGGCCACTGCTAATTCAAGATGGAGAATGAGCCAAAGGTCTTCTGCATTCTGGCTATAGAGGTCACTGTCCATGTGCATCTCAGGATGAACAAGTCAGTGGCTAGAAAACCAGACCATGCCACTTCAAATGAGCATGAGATCAGTGTGTGTCCACTGCCATGGCTGCCTTCTACTCACCCTTGCTGGAGATGTTAGGTCTTTGGGTGTCCTCCACAGGTAGACTCCTGGGAATACAGTGCTGGTCATTTTTGTCACACTGCTCCCCTGGTTTTCTAGGAACGTGAGCAGCAGTTTCAACCTCAGAGCCCTTAAGGTAGGTGTGCAGGTCCTGTCTGCTGTCTTTGTTAACTCCATCACACCCCACACACACGACCCCCCCACACACGAGACCACACACACACAAGACCCCACACACACAAGACCACACACACACAAGACCACACACACACAAGACCCACACACACACAAGACCCCCATACACACAAACCCCCCCACAAGACCACACACACACAAGACCCCCCCACACAAGACCACACACACACACAAGACCCACACACACACAAGACCCCCACACACACAAGACCCCACACACACAAGACCCCCCCACACAAGACCACACACACACAAGACCCACACACACAAGACCCCCACACACACAAGACCCCCCACACACAAGACCACACACACACAAGACCCCCACACACACAAGACCCCCACACACACAAGACCCCCACACACACAAGACCCCACACACACACAAGACACACACACACACAAGACCCCACACACACAAGACCCCCACACACACAAGACCCACACACACACAAGACCCCACACACACAAGACCCCACACACACAAGACCCACACACACACAAGACCCACACACACACAAGACCCACACACACACAAGACCCCCCCCACACACAAGACCCCACACACACAATACCACACACACACAAGACCCCACACACACAAGACCCCCCCACACACACACAAGACCCACACATAAGAGCATCTTTCTCCTTCCTGGCCTTGCTATTGCCTAAGGAAAGCAGAAATGCTATGATAGGCTTCTCGTAGCTCTAAGGGGTGGAGCAGAAGAGAAGACCAGCACCCCAAGATCAGATTGGATTCAAGTATCTTCCTTCTAACAAACTTTAGTTTTCAAAGCCCCTTCAAGTTTGATTTCCCCCACCTGACCCCTACAACCACCAGGGGAAGATTCAGGTGAGGCTAATTATACCCTTCATCAGTCCAGCTCTTACAGAAACAAGGCCGTACCGGATGAGTGGTCTCCTCCCCAGAAGTTTGACATACCTATTTTTCCTTTGAACCAGGGAAGTCTTTCAGAAAATGGATCCCAAAAAAGCATTTTCTACAGATACGTGGATCGGGTATGTTACCTAACACCCGTCGACCTTACTTGTCTGTGGGTGGGGGACACTTCAGGAACACAGACTTCTCCAGTTGCTTGTCAGAATGCATAGAATGAAAAGGACTTGATCATATCGGTCATGTTCTCTCCCTGGACCATCCCCAGATGCTCTGGCTGCCAAGCTCTAGAGACAAGTATGTCCCAATGTGGGTGGAATCCCACTGGGACATGGAGCTTAGGAAGGGAGATGATAATTAAGGGCTGTGTGTAAGGGATATAGTGTTGTTTGAGCCTTTAGACAAGAAGTTGGCAGCACCCCTTGAAATCTTCCTTTCTCTGGCTCAGCCATCACTCTCCCTACCCCCACCAAACCTGGCATTGTTCCTCCCGGGAGCTGGCCAGCTTCAGAAATCCCCAACAGCTCTCTCCCTGCCAAGCCACCTATGTGCACATGGGGCTTTCCTAATGGTTTAATAAACTGTTATAAAGAACTCCTTGACTCCTCAGGATAAAAGAGCTGCCAGTGGTTCCGTGGGATGGGCCTTTTACCATTAATAACAGTGTCGGTGTGGGAAGCAGAAAGTAATATAGATGATTTTGTGTACAGTGGGCCAAGCAGAGGCCGAGAAAGGAGGCATGTCTCCCATGCTTCTGTACTCAGAGGGCTAATGGCATAGTGGTATCTCAGGCACAGCCTGGACCACAGGCAAAAGGGGGTGGATGCAGATGAGGGTGTGACTGGAATGAGGGGTGAGTGCTACAAAGAACAGCCATCAGTACTTGCCCAGGACTCAGGGCAGCTCTCACTGAAACCAGACTGGCCCAGAAGACCTCTGTCTCCTGTCTGTGAGCTCCCAAAGGCAGAGATGGCTTCATCTGCATTCCTTGTCCCCAAGCACCCATCACTGTCCTTGGCCCGGAGCAGGTACTCAATCATTTCTGTCAGGTTGAATTAAGACAGATTAGCTCCCCTGGAGCAGACACCCAAGCTTAGATTAGCTGCTCTGAGGTGGCCAGCAGGACCTGATTAGGATGCCTGAGACCAAGCTTCTCCAGGGCAGGTGGTATATCTTCACACAGGTCCATGAACCTGGACTTCTAAAATAAAAATGTAATTTGTCATATGACAGGATGGTACAGACTCCCTAATCAGGACATTTCCAAGAGACAGACAAATGTTGGGCTCCCCCTAGAGTGACCGTTGCTGGTACTGGACAGTGGTCAGAATTAAAATAAGACACCAATACAGTATTGTGCCTAGGCCGCCTCTTAGGCAGGCACCCTTGAGCAAGGCACCCTGGCAGCATCCTGTACAACATGCAAACTGTGCTCAGGGATTGTGACTGCCCAAGACATTTTTAACCAAAGCATTCTCATGCACTTACTACTGTCTCTTCCCATGACATCTCACGTTGGTGTAACTAGCTCTATAAGTACAGTCATCTATCACCGCTCATTGTGGCTAGTTGCCTGTGTTAGCCATGGTAGTGGAAATGTTATAACCAAGCCTGCCCGTCAGAAGGGCAACATGCATTTGGGTTCTCAATTAGACAGAGCAAACTGAACCACCATCCTTCATAAATTCAATTGGCAAGCATTTTCCAAACTCCCAGGACACACCCCAAGTACCTACTTCACTAAGCTTTGGAAGTACCACAGCCCCAACCTTTGAGGGTCCCTTAGTTCATACATGCAATTCTTGGGGAACTCGACTGAGTAACCACCATTGCCGTCCCTGCCACCAGTTCCTCGAATGCTCCTGGTGGGGAATAGTGTGGAGTCCTGGTCCAAGTGTGCCCTAGGTGGGAAATATGGAGAAGGAAGCAGATGTTGTCCATGCTTTGTTCAGCCTGTTGGCTGACGGGCAATTCCATGGAGGCGAGTGCCTCCTTAGCATGGCACTTCTGTGCAAGGTTCTTTGGAAGAAAAGCTCGGCTGATGTTGGCACATGAAGCCAACTTCGCTGATATTTCCAAACGTGAAGTTAGAAGAAAGCCCTGAGGACCAGCAGGAGACACTGGCATCTTAGAGGCTTGTGCTTCTCACTGCAGACAGGGCCTCACAATGACAGGCTCTGGGGCTGCTCCTGCTTTTACAGCAGGAGGAAGGGGCTATGTGGAGCTGTGAGTGCAGTTGTCTGTGAGGAGGCACCTTCTAAGCCATGGAGGGCCACTCTACAAGTCTACCCGCTGAGAAACCTTACTCCAGTGCCAGCAGCCCCAAGGGCAGCAGCCATGCTTTTTGTAAAAATGATATTACCACCAGGTTGCCCAGTGCCTGTCTGCAGGGAACGGTCAGTGCCACGACTCCTTCCGAGATCAGGCCTACAAAGAAACCTGTTCACCACCACGTTAGAGGCTTCCTGCTTTTAATCTAAGGAAAGCCTCGGTACCTGGAAGACTAAGTCATGTGCTCCATGCTAGCTTCTTCTAGTAGCCTAATTTTGAGTGTGTTTAGCGCCTACTATCGCACACAGGCACACACAAAGTCATCACCTCTTCTAATAGTCCCTCTGGAAGTGGAGAATACATCCCTAAAGGGCTACACTGGTCATCCTGCCATGGTGGGGATCTGCGAGAGCCAGCCGCAGTGAGAAGGGGAGGAAGAGGCGTGCTTTCTAACAATAACGGACCCACACCAGGAGCCAAGTGTCAGGACCATCATGTCTTGTCAGGGAGGGGGTCATCAACATGACCAGAACCCAGAACAAAGAGCAGGTAGACACGCTACGGAAAGGGAGGGCATAGAACTCGGAACGCTGCTACAGAGTTGGGTGGATCTATCCCTCGGCTCCTGAGTCCCATCTCACACCCATTTTTCTCCTGTGTTTTGGACCAGGGATTGGGCATTGATGCCACCCAACTTCAGAGACTTCTCAACCAGGAGTTCCTGATAGGTATGTCAACTCAGAGGCCTCCTGTCTCTGGCCTCATCCCCCATGTAGCCACCCTCAATGGCACTTCAGTCCTTCTTTTTCCTCAGGGTCTCCGGAGGACACTTTCTCCTTGGACCAGTGCCAAAGCATTGTGGCTCTGATGGATGTATCCTTCACCATCACCCTCTCCTGCAGCCCTGAGGGCGTCCCTGGGTTTCTGGTTATAGATCAGCACATGAATCCTGGGCCTTCTCTCCCAGCTTACTCCAGACTCTAGCTCATCGTAACAGCAATAGCAATAGTCACTGCTGACAAAACTTCTGGGATCCCTAAGGAAATGGCGTTTGTAATGCTTGCAGCAACCCTTATGATGCAACAGCTGTGAATCCCATTGCCCAATGCAACACAAAGGTCACAGAGGTCAAGTATCTTTGCCCAGCTTACACAGCTAGTTGAAAGCCACACATGGATTTGAAAATTTAGCTCCCAAAGTCTATGTTCTAACCTCAGCCTGTACAATGTCCTCCAACTGGAACTGTTTTCAAAACCTTCGAGCTTTCCTTCACTGCTTGGATTCCTTAATCAGAAGGCCACCAATTTAAAAAGATAACCACTGAAAAGTCTCAAACCTCCTTGGTCTGCAGTGCACAGCAGTGGTGCCCCCCCCCCGTGACTCATATGGCATTTTTGCATGGGTTGACAGTGGTCTTGAGGCAACTCGGGGTCTAGCCCAGCTCCATGACCACAAGGAACAGGACCAGGAATCAAACTTTAACTGCTTAATTCTCATCTGAACACCCTCTCCAAGGGACCTTTCTCCTCTATCCGACCTCTCTCTCTTCGGACCCAAGAGACACTGGCCATGTAGGATGGATTCCCAAGCCTGGCGGTTCCTCCCCAGGCTGTGGCTGTCTCCAGAGAGAGACAGATCACCCCCTCTCACACTGTTAACAAGGCTCGATTGTGAATGCGAAGCCAGCTATTGTAGAACAAGAAGGCTTCGTGATGGAATCATAAATCAGTCCTGTCTTAGCTGGCTCTGGTCTGGAGTCACTCAGAGACACAGAGGAATCCAAATGGCCCTTGCAACCCCATGACCAGGACACCCAGCTGGGAGAAGGGAAAAAAAGAGAGTAGAAAAAGACCCATGCATTGCACTGTGCTTGGAAACTGCAAATAGGGCTCCCCTGGGGTTGAGTGCTAGGGTTGGGTGCTAGCTCTCATAGTTCAATCATTTTTCCTGCATTAGCTGCCCACTACAATGGGTAGCTGGGGAAGCATTAATACTCAGGAAACACCCCAGCAACACACAGGGCCCAGGGATGGCACCTTTACCTATCCACACTACTTCTGCATTGCAAGGCCCCTGCAAGCTCCTCCCGACCCTTCCCTGCCCAGGAACACAGCCCAGCTGGTGAAGGCCATGCTGTAGTCGTGGCGGGGGAGGGTCCCTTTCTTCTGCTGGATATAACTGAAATTGATGACTCTTTCTCGGGGTGTCTTCCTTGTAACAGTACATTTTATTTTGTAAAGGAAATATAAGCCAGGTCACCTTCACATACAGTGGGAGTCATCTGGCATGGGGCCAACATGGCACTGGGTTGCTAGTTGAAGGACAAAGCTGCTCTGGCTTTGTTGCCAGGACAAATAGGACCCCTTCCCGCTGCCCTCTGGACTGCTTGGCACTTAACTCCTCCTCCAGGTGAAGGTGAATGGGCGGCTGGATCAGGACGAGTTTGCAAGACTGTGGAGTCGCCTTATCCACTGCCAGGTATGGTCACACTTCCTATGGCATGACCAGTGCTCTTACTGAACCCAGCTGAGCAAATATTTACTAGGTGACCCACGCTGGGGTGTGAAAGGATAGGAAGCATCAACCGATCCCAGAGTCACTCACATTTAGTTTAGGGAGACACACACCAAGGTCTGAAGTGCTGTCAGAGAGGAAGGATGAGGAATGTTCCAGGAGGTGGGTTACCATGGACAGTGTCTAGAACTGCCATGATATAGACTGAAACACCCATTAGTCTGAACCCATCTCCTTCTATCCCAATGCCTCTGTGGAAGGACCTACCAAATAGATGTGGTTGGCCATGACCTCCTGTTGTCCTCAGGACAAAGTCCAATGCATCAAAGAAGCACACAGACCTCCTGAGTTGCGCCTCTAATTTTAATTCCAGAGGATGTCAATTACTCATCCTCCTTCCTCTGAAACCCAACTCTAAGATGCTCTCCCAAATAAACCCTTTGTTCCTCTGGCCTGCCCTTCTTCTCTCCCATCTCTGTACCCCAAGCCTGGCCATCGATCATCCATACTAAGAACCCAGGTAGCTTTGGACATGCCTTCCCTGCCAAGTCTTTCTTTCCAGTCCCTGTGACCTGATCACTGTCTGTTCTGACTCCTCACCTTCTATCCGATACCTGTAGGGCAGGCCACATTGTCTACCTTAATATTTTGTACTTTAAAAGGGACTTTTTCTTGTTTTAAAAGTAGTGCCTATTGACAATAGAAAACAGAGATGAGGAAAAGCAAACTCAAAAAGGGAAACATGATCTTGCCAAAGGGAAAGTATTAAGACCTAGTTAATGTGTTCCAGAATGTATCCTATAGTAGGCATATTTATACACACTAAATAAAAGTATAATCTGGCCAGGTATGATGGGCACATCTGTAATCCCAGTACTCAGAAAGCTGCAGCAGAAAGATTATGAGTTTGAAGGCAGCTTTGGCTACATGGAGAAACCCTTTGTCAAATGAATAAATGAGTACATGAATAAATAAGGCAATCAGTCAATCATATAACATATACATGCATACAAGCTGCTTTTAAAAAATAAAGAGCACCAATATATCATATGCCTAATCATGTCACTATCTCTGAACACTGTGAAAGACTGAATCAAGTACCCCAGTGTGACTATGCCAACACACATCACCTGATCACTGACAGGGGGCCATTGGACGTCTCACCAGACAGTAGAATGGTTGGCAGGCTGTAGTTGTTTTTTATTCTGTTCTCTTTTGCTCTTCAGGGGCCTGCCACCCATCCTCCAAACAAATTCAGAGACTTATTATTACTTATAAATGTCCTGCCTAGCTTGGCTTGTTTCTAGCCTGCTTTTCTTAATTATCCCATCTATCTTTTGCCTCTGGGCTTTTATCTTTCTCTATTCCTGTGTATCTTTTCTTTCCTTCTTATTCCATGTCTGGCTGGGTGGCTGACCCCCAGCATCCTCCTTTCCTTCTTTTTCTCACTCCTCCCTTTTCTCTCTCCCTATTTACTCTCTCTGCCTGTCAGCCCCGCCTATTTCTCTCTCCTGCCTAGCTATTGGCTGTTCAGCTCCTCATGAGATCAATGGGTGTTTTAGACAAGCAAAGTAACAGTTTCTCATAGTTAGACAGATGCAACATACAAGAATGCAACACACCTTTGTATCATCAAACAAATGTTCCACAGCATAAACAAATGTAACACATCTTCAACTAATATTCCACAACAACAGGCTCCTCCTGTCCTTACATCGCTAGGTCCTTCATTGCAGGATCTTCCTCATGTTCATCTTTCCCCAGAGACCCCCTTGGTGTGTGTAACACAGCAGTGTTTAGAATTGTTCAATAAATGACCTAGCTAATCAGCTACTAAATGAATGAGATAAGTAATGGAAATCACTTGAAGTCTGTCTTCAAAGCTACCAGTAACCAAATAATGCCTAGGGGAGGTTCTCAGGCTGTCATTCCCTGCCCCACTCCGTGCTGGCCCTGCCTTGCATACCTGGGATTTGCTGTTTGGACATGGAAAGATTCCCATGAGGCACTCTGGGCTCAGTCGTGGGCAGCTGCCCACTTAATCGAAGACCGGGTCTTCACCTGCCTGGGGGTCAATTACCTGGTGTAGGAAGTGCACCACAGCCCAGGATCTCTATGGACACTCAGTTGAGAGGAATTTCTCCAGTAAATACAGGAGTGGGACAACAGTGGCTACTGTCTACTTTCTGCAGCCACGCTGGGGCCAGGACAAAGCTCTAGCCTGCTGTTGGTATTTTCCATACAGCACTCACTATCCCCATGAGGGGCTTCACGTATACGAGCATGCACACTTAGGTATTAGTGAATGGCAGGCACTTTATGGATTTGTAACTTATAGATGCTTGCTCCTTGGCGTCCTGTAAAAAACCTAGGACTGTAGCTAGTGTAGATGAAGAAATGAGGCCTAGAGAGATGAAATAACTTAATAAAGATTTAGTTACACAGCTGGTCAGTAGTTGAGCTGGAACTTCAGCCCAGCAGATCATGTTGTGACTGTGCGTGTAACCACTACTAGACGCAAACTCTTTAGAATGGAGGCTCTCAACCTGCAGGTTGCGACCCCTTTGACAAATTTCCATCTCCAAAATTATTTACATTACAATACTAACAGTAGCAATATTACAGTTACGAAGTAGCAACAAAAATCATTTTTTATGATTGGTAGTCACCACAACATGAGGAACTGTGTTAAAGGGTTGCAGCATTAGGAAGGGTGAGACCCGCTGGTCTAGAGAGAAACCTTGTGCTTTCCCAAACACAGCCAAATGTCCCATGTGTCTGGAGTGAGAAGAGCAAAGGAGAGTGGTTACAAGAGAGGACTTTCGGGCCCAGCCGTGACCAAACTTAAAGGGTGTGGCCGTTCCCATTTGCACCATTCCCTCCCCCACCTCCCTGTAAGCTGGCTCCTTGCACACTTTAGTAAGGCCTCCTCTGGGGGTGAAAGCATCCACAGAGCCTCTCCCCCTACATCGTCTGGGTCCTCACAGGGTTCTTGCTTCTTTCTCCCCACCAGCACATTTTCCAGAACATTCAGAGGAGCCCCGGAGTTCTCCTGGGCGCAGACCTGTGGAAGGTCATAGAAAGTACAGGTAATGGGGGCTCATGAGCCTGGATGACTGGGGGCCATGGGACACGCATGAAGCCCACATTCCCATCACGCCATAAGCAAGCCTGGCATGGTGAGACTGGGCAGCTGGGAGAAAAGAGAGCTCTAGCTCTGTGTTCTCTCCTACCTACATTGACCTTGAAGGTTTCTAGGCTCATGTGAGCCCCCTCCTCTCCACTGCAGCCTGAGCAGTCCTGTTCCAGTCAATCTCCTCAGCTGCCCTCTCTCCCCAGCACAGCTCTGAGTGAGTGGGGAGGACCCGCGTGACTGATAGCCTGCAAGGAATGGAGCTCATCTTCCAGGGGCTTTCCAGCTCCCTGTCTGGGCTGTCAGGGTTAAACGCCTACAGTAGGCTGGGGATCTCACTTCTCTCCCTTTCACATAAGGTTCAAGGCTAAATTAAACCAAATGGCATGCGTTGGCTTTGAGTCGGCACAAGCTTTCCACCCTCGGGTAATGCTAACAACACTTTAGGGTGCATTGGTGCTTCATAGTTCACCAAGAACTGCTCACATCATCCCGTTTCATTGTCTCCTCCCGGCTGCGAACTGGAAAGGGCAGGAATCATTGCTTCCACCGCACCTGTGGGGAAGAGAGATCTCATAAAGGTTATGTAAGGAAATGGCCACCTTCCTTAATAAGCTGTAGAATCGCATTCCCCCAGGTTAACTGTGGAAAGAGCACCCCCATAATTCTTCTTCCAGTGTCCCTGGCATAGACAGTGGTAGAAACACAAGTCACTGTTCTCCGTTTGAGCAGAGCTCCTCCCCTTAATTATGATGGTCAGCTGCTGCACCCCAGCGTCGTAGGTCTGCAGTGTAGAAGGCTAAGATACCCAGAGCTGAGCTGCCCCGCTAGGCTTGCTAGAACTGGGAAGGCTGAGCTTTCCCTCCATCTCTGGCAAGTTCCAAGGCATAATTTCTGTGGCTGACATGGGGCCACACTTGGAGAACCATTGAAGAGCCAGTTAAAGATGGAGCCATCAGAGCAGCCTCGTGACTGCAGAATAAAACATGGGGGGGGGGGAATAGAGACCACTTCCAATTCAACTGAGAAGCACTCAGAAGCTAAGCAGGGAGCTATCAGGAAAACCCAAGCCCCATCCAAAGGTTCCTATTTTATCAACGGCAGAAGTCAAATGTGACTCTAACTACATGGGGCCCATGGGCCACCAAGCTCATCCTTGCATAGATTTCAAGTGCCTGCCCGCTCACCAGAGGAACAACTAAGGCCACTCTGCCCGTGTCACCTCTGTGGTTGGTGTCTCCCTGGAGCTTATAACCAGAGATACAAAATGACAAGGTCGAAGAAAGAGGGCAAGAGGCCTATCTTCTGCTCAGCTAAGGCGACCTTCTCGGTTGTGGTCTCCCTTCTGTGGCCCAGCCTTTCCTTGGCTGAGCACTATAGAGCTGAATCTCCCTCTTGCAGGGAGACCACGCCTGCCTGCATTAGAAGCACCCGTATACAGTGCTTACATAGAGTCCCAACATCTAGTTGGAAGGTGGTTTAATATGAACACCAGCAAAGAGAGACCCAGCAGAGGCAGGGCTGGACTTCAGTCCTTAGGTGTTCTAGCAGCTCTATACCACATGGGGATTATCTAATTATTGGAAAAGGCAGCATGTCTTCACAATAGTCAGCACCTTGAGTCCCTCGAGTTGGTCTCTGGCCAAGCTGCAAGCAGTGACACTAGAACACAACAGCCAGCAATCAGGACAAAAAGGCAAGAGCCTGAGTGAGGTGGGACTAGCTGACACACTGGACTGAGCAGGGGATGTGACAGAAGGCTGTGGGCCCTCGTAACAGGTTCGTTGAGCCTCATGAGGCAGAGGACTACCCCATCTCCAGTCTCCTCTGAGCTACCAACTTACCTTCCCATCCCAGACTTCCTTTCAGGAGTCTTCATCAGCAATGAGCTGCTGAGTCTCATGACACTCCGGTACAGTGATAACTCTGGCCAAGTCAGCTTCCCCAGTCTTGTCTGCTTCCTGATACGGCTGGAAACCATGGCAAGTAAGTGAGCCCGGGGGCATTCTGTAGACCCTGACAGTGACCAGTGAACTCAATGGATGATCAGGAAAGCACCGATGTCTGATACATTGGTGAAGACTCAGGAGCGGGCAGGCTGGTGAGTCCCTGGATCTAAGGGGGCCCAGCCAGCGAGACTGTAAGTAGTATGGTGGCAAGAAGTAAGGCATAAAATGAGGTCTGCAAAACCCCCACACGTGAAAGACAGGTTGGCCAAGAGGAAGACTGGACACCTCCCCAACCAAAGCCAACATGGAATAGATTGTGCATCCTCAAAAGGAAAAGAAAACCAAAAGCTCATCGTATGCAAATTTCTGTGGCAACTGATGCTATGCAAATGTCACAGAAAGGGTTACTGCCCTCCTAACACCATGCCATTGAGTCTCTAACCTTCCTCCATGCTCTGGCCTACTTCCTCTCTTGCAAGTTGTCTCGCTCTCCTTCACTGTTGCTATGATAGAACACTCTGACCAAAGCAACTTAAGGGAGAAGAGTTTTTGTGTTTGTTTCTTTGTTTTGTTTTGTTTTGTCTGACTCCCGGTTGCAGATTACAGTCAGGGAAGATGGGTTAGCAGAATTTGAAGCCACTGGTTATGTTGCATCTGCAGCCAGGAAGAAAGCAGCGAATGTGAGCTGCTGTGCACCTCCCTTTCTCTGCTTACACAGACCAGGATCCCAGCCGGGGGATGCCGCCACCCATGGTGGTTCCCACCTCAATGCAATCATGACATGCCCAGAGCCCTGCTTCTCCTGGTGATTCTAGATTCTGTCAAGTTTGTCCGTTAACACTGCCCATCATGGGCCTATATTCTCAATAAACTGTCTCTACCTTTGCCCTTCTCCACATGTCTATCCATTTGTTGTTTCTAATTCTCACACATGGGGACCTGGAAATTCCAGAGGCTGTCAGCCTCTGATAAGTAGTAGCAGTGCCATTATCTGTGTCCTCATCCTCCCTTCCACACTCTTTCCTGTTCCTACACCTCAAGTCTCTTTCTGCTTCCTCGCCCTATTCAGGCTCTGTCTCAGGACAAGGTTCATTTAAGTCGCCCTGTCCCCTCTCTGTGTTATATTAAGAACTAAATCTGCTCTTTAGTTATGCAGTGAAGGATTCAGTCTCTAGTGAAAGAATTTCACACAAGCAAATACCTGGGAGCAGGAGTTCTTTTTCCAACCTACAGAACTCCGGAGACGGAGGCCGAAGGGTTCCACATGTTTTAGCAGAATAGCTTTCATTCTAAGTGAAACCTTGGGTGAAGCCCCAGCTCAGAAGCTCAATATAGATACAGCTGTTGCAAATGTGGGAATGGTAGAGTGGGGTCCAGAAACACCCCCGAATCCTGATACCTCCACAGCCATGGGGAACTTCTGCAAAGCCCAAGGTTCCAAGTGAAGTCTGGGAAAATAGAGCCTTAAGGTTAGCGTGAAGCCTGTTGTAGATCGGGGAGATCCCTAACTGTGCCCATTAAACAAAAAAAATCAACCCACTGGGCATGGTGACACACATCTTTAATCCCAGCACTTGGGAGGCAGAGACAGGTGGATCTCTGTGAGTTCTAGGCCAGACTTGTCTACAGAGAGAGTTCTAGGACATATGGGGCTGCACAGAGAAACCCTGTCTCAAAAGGGGGAAAAAACCAACCCACTGAGTGTGGTGGCACACACTTTTAATCCTAGCACTCTAGGAGGCAGAGGCAGGTAGATGTCTGCATTCGAGGTCAGCCTGATCTGAGTTCTAGTACAGCCAAGGCTACACAGAGAAACCCTGATTCAAAACAGAAAATAAACAAATCAGCCCATACGCCCCCCCCCAAAAGACAAAGTGGAAGGAAACAAGGTACGTGGGATCTGGAAGGGGAGAGGTGAGGTAATCGCAGCTGTCCTGAGGGGGCAACCTTAAGCCACCCCGCAGCATGGAGCTGGGCCAGACAGAGGGAGCAGAGGCACATTGTGGGGGCAGTGAGGACTTACGGCCTGTCAGCCTGTCAGAACCTTTCTCCCTCTATCCTAGAGGCATTCCGCAACCTCTCCAAGGATGGCAAAGGAGTCTACCTGACAGAAATGGAGGTGAGACGCCTTCCCCTCCCAGGACCAGGCACGGTCCCAGGCTTCATTCTCCTGATCCAGTTCCAAGGGGCATTTTTCTCCCCAGGGTATTAAATAGTCCATCAAAGGCCAGCCAAGCTGGTGGTGGCAGGGGGAGGGGGAACTGCCTCCAATTACTGCTTTTATATATTGCAGGCTGCCAGGCTGCTTTAGGATCTTGGCAGAGAGATTTTATTTTTTTCCAATAGCTTAATAAAGCAGAGGATTATGTGGGAGTCATAAATCCAAGAGAGAAGTAAAGAACAATCCACCAAGCTCACTGTACATTAAGCCTGAATTTTAGAGCTATCTAACCAGCCAGCTGGTCAACCCCCGAACACCTCTCTCTGCTGGGCTATTTAGAAAATAATATATGCCCTTCAATTGCTCAGGTGGTGGAGTGGAGGACTGTAAAGTTACCTAGAAAGTTTGGGGAGACGATGTATTGTGACAGACCACCGAGGGTGGAGTTAGCCAGGGAAAGGCATTTATGCTGGGCTGAGATCTTCCAAGGGAAGGGGTATACATTTGCCCTCTTCCACATTAAATGAAGTAGCTTTAAGAACTGGTGACACAGGGCTAGGGCTCAGTCAGTAAGTACTTTACACACAAGCATGGGGACCTGAGTTTAGAACCCTAGCACCCATGTAAGAAGCCAGGCATGGTGGTGCATGCCTGTAACCCCAGAGCCCTGGAGAGATGGAGACGGGGGAATCTGACAAGTTTGCTGGCCAGCCAGCCTCACTCCATTGGTAAACTCTAGGTTCAATGAGAGACTCTGTTTCAAAAAGTAAAGAAGGATACCTGGCACCAACATCTGCCCCCAAACCCATGTATTTTACATGTACAGGACGCTGCATATATTACATATCAGAGATTTACATGCCAGAAAGAGTATCTGTTCTAATTATGATGCTTATTTCTCAGTGGATGAACCTGGTCATGTATGGCTGAGACGAAGAGCCCTCTGGACCAGGTAAGACATGGCATCATTGGAGTCCTTTCTTCTTCCTATGAACATTGCCCCTCTTTCTCTACAAATGACACTTAAGACTCCCTGGACAGCCTCTCAGAGACACCAGAAATCTTGTTTTATGAGCCAAGGCCCCGCTGCTCATGGCTCCTGAGTTTCAAGGCCAAATGCTCAGATTTCATCCAGACACGTTCACGAAGAGAGCAGTCTGAAAGTCGTGAATGGGAGGTTTACAACACTTTATTAATGTTCCAAAGAGAAAGGGTGATGACTCATGCCAGACAGGGACTCGAAATGCTGGAAATAGAATACTGTGGAGCAACATGAACAGTTGACCTTGCCGGGAAGGAGAGCTGGCCACCCAGCTTTACCACTGCCTAGCTGGTTTTGGACAGTAGTGGATATGTGTAGTCACTGTCATTTATACTTCTAGTCTGTGTTCATCAAGAAGCGCATGACCACTTTGACTTCTATGGAACAAACTAGAGATCCAGGAGGTCTGTTATCACATTGCCCAATCCTGCCATAGGAGAAATTCTGGCTGGGTGTTCTTGAATTCTGATAAGCTTAAGATTTTCTGCTTCCACTTTCTGGAAATCTTCAAGTCTATGTATTCCTTATTTGGAGACAACAATCTAGGTCTCTGGAAACTTCTATCATGCTTCCGAAGAAGCTCTACTCCCTAGACCACTGTAGAACAAAAAAAGACTGGACATTCCAGACCTTGAGGTCCTTGAAGAAACTTCTGCTGCCTGACCCAAAGCCTCCCTTACTTAGTTATCACTGTTGGTTCTCCATGAAACAATACTGTAGTCAATGCCCTCTCTACTAGTAACTTGTGGCTGTGACAAAATGCTTGATAACAGCAATTAACAGGAGAAAGGGTTCATTTCTGTCTGAAAGTGTGCCGTATGTCATGGTTAGGTAAAGTATGGCAGTGGGAACTCAGGGTGGCTGGTGCTTTGCCTCCACAGGCAGGAAGCAGAGAAATATGAACTCACATACTCAACTGGTTGTCTTCTTTTTTCCCTTTTGTGTTCAGTATGGGACCTAGGTTGTAGGAGGGTAACCTCTCCAGCTCATTCAGAACAGGACTTACTCCCTTAGTCAGTCCTCTCTGGAAATACCCTCACAGACACACCGAAAAATATACCCCACTAATCCCACAGATGTTTCTTCCTCCAGTTAAGTTAATAATCAAAATTCACCACCAGACCCTCTGAGATGTTAACTTCTGAAAATAATCTTTGTGTAATCTGTGAATCATGTGTGTGCCTTGAAACGGTGAGAAAGGAACTCTGCATAAAGATATAATATTTGAGCATCAGTACTTCCTGATGAACATTTGGTGGTTACTGGTGACTACAGGTTGACAAGAGTCAATTTCCCTCGACTGCTTGAATTTCCCTCTCACTCCTTTTAAAAGAAATAGATCATTTCCAGCTTTATCATGCCTATCACAGTCTGCAGGGGTTTAATGTAAAGGATGACTCTTTAATTGTATCTTGAAGCTAATCTGGCACGCGGGGTCCACATCCTTGAACTTTTAAAGTAGCTGAATTCTCTCTGTCTTGTCTCTTCTGGGGAGTCCCAGTTATCTTTTCACCCATCTTTCCAGTTTCCTGCTCTAAGAGTGTGCAAGGATGGAGCATAATATGAGATGCATATGTGTTTATCTTGCATTAATGATCAATGCCTGTCGTTACACTGAGCGGTCCCTCTTCCTTGTTCATAGCTACTCTCTGACATCACAATATTGCATGGCTCTTGAGTTGCACTGAGGAACTAGAGGCAGGAAGATGAAGAAGCTCTGCCTGGAAATGTACAGCTCCACCTGCTTTGGTACCAACCCCTTCATCCCCATGCTGTCACACAGCATCTCCCTCTGGGGTTGTTCTGTAATTCACTACCATCACCTTTGAATGAATTTTCTCCTCTATCTTCGAAATACTCTCTCTCTCTCTCCCTCCCTCCCTTCCTCTCTCTCTCTCTCTCTCTCTCTCTCTCTCTCTCTCTTTCTTCTCTCTCTCTCTTTCTTTTCTCTCTCCATTCTCCAGGATTTCCTAAGCATCATTCAAACATTTGTCTTTTGAATCTCTCCCACCTCATAATCCCTTCCAGCCTCTACCACCCCTCTCCTCCCATTAGAGCCAAACTTCATAAAGGAATTAATTGTCTCCCCATCCTTACTTCCTATTCTCTCTTTGAGCTATTTCAATTTGGATTTCTCAGAAATCATCTGTCTCCCTGAATTTTGCATTGGCTTTTGATCTTATTTTTCTATATCCATTCATATCCCTCAAATCAATTTCCTGAAGCCAGAACTATGCTCTTAAAAAATTCAAATCCATTTACCACATTCTCCAAGTGAAAAACTCTTCAACATATCCTCCTCTTGCTATACAAGGTAATTCTAGAGTCCTTAACATCAATCCCTGGATCGTTGCACCATCTGCCTCAAGCCCATCCATCCTATCACAACTCGCCTGTTCCTTCATCTACATCCACCATATGTACAATTGCCTTCTATTCTTGTTATTCCAAGCCTCGGATCTCAGGCCTTACTGTCTGTTCTGCCCTGACTATTAGTAGCCCATCATCTGCCATTTCTTGCTGTAGCCCAACTGGCAACTCCCATAAAATTTCTCACATACCCTTTCCCCGGTTACAAAACTCAGCATGTAGTTTTCTTGTTGTCGTTTCTTCCTTTATTCTTAGTGAGGTTTGTTGAAATGCAATCCACAACATAAAGTTTGCCCACTTATAGTGTGGAATTCAAGCTAAACACAGTGGTACACACCTAGAAACTGAAAGCCCAGGAAGCAGATGTAGGAGACCACAAATTCCAATCCAGCTTAGGCTACATAGTGAGTTCTAGACCTGCCAGAGCTACATGCTGAGACACTGTCACAAACAAAGAAACCAAGTATGTTATATTTGTGGTTTTAGTATACTTGCAGGCCTACATGACCATTCCAATAATATGATTTTATAGCACTTCCATATAAAGCAATATAATATTCCCCCCGCAGTTACTCCCCCGTTGCACCCAACCTTAATCTTAGGAAAACTGTAATCTACGTTATGACTCTGTAGATGTGCCTATTCTGTGTGTTCCATACAAGTGGAATCATAAAATGAGCGGCCCTTAGTAACTGTGTCTTTCACCTACCCTGATGTTCTCAGAGTTCACATACATTGAAGCATGCCTTAAGTCTTCATTCCATTTTAGTCCTAAGCAGTATTTCATTGATACTGCACCGTATTTGATTCATCATTCAACAACTGGTAGATGTTGAAGTTATTTGTACTTTGTGGAGATGATCATTGATTATCATGTTGTGAATGTTTGTAGGTGAGCTTTGAGGTGGACGTCATGTTTTCACTTCACTAGGCTATATAGCTAGTGATGGGCCTGAAGGAGCACATGGTAACTCTGTGTGATGCTCTGAGGAGTGGCTTGCCTTTTTGTCTCTTCCCACCAGCAGAGAATGGGAGTTTAAGCAACACATGGGGTTGTCTGTCTCTATGGGTTTGAACTGGTACCTCACTGTGGGTTTTGTTGGCACTTCCTTGATATCAAATGATGCTGAGCCTCTTTCCCACTGATTATGGGTTAATTGTATGCTTTCTTTAGAGAATTCTACTCAACTCCTTTCTGCATTTTGAAATTGAGTTATATATTCAAATCTTCTTGCCACTGAATTGTGAGACTTATTTTCATATTTTAGTTACTAATCCCTTATCATATATGTTTTTGTCAAGTTTTTTCCTCTTACTTAAGGTTGTCTTTTCATTTTTCAATTTTTATTTCATTTTAATTAAAAATTGTTTTCATGTAATATGTTTTATCTTATTTCCCCTATCTCCCAATTCCTCCAAGATCCTCCCCACTTTGCATTGTGTGGGGGTTTTGTTTTGTTTTTGTCTTTTCAATTTTGGGTGGTATCATTTGAAGTTCATAAGCTTCTAGGTTTGATGAGGTCTGCCATGCCTATTTTTCTTTAGTTATTTATAATTTGGTTTGTAGATCTCAGGGGTCACTGTCTAGCCTGGTTCTCTTGTAACTTTTTTTTTTACAATTTAGCTTTTGTCATTTAGGCTTTTGAACTATTTTGAGGTAACGTTTTTGCCTGTATATAGCAGTAGTCTAGCTTTATTCTTTCACATGTGGATGTCTGGTTTTCTCTGCACCCACTGATAAAGACTAGTACCTCTTCCATCTTGCTGTCTTTGAACACAAACTCTTCATACTGTAAGGATTTAGTCTATATTCCCAGTCCTGTCCTGGAGGCATGCAGGTGATGGGGATCACATTAAGTATTAAATTAATTGGGAAATATCATATTCACGACAACAAGTTTTTGAACCTGTAGATATGGAACACACCTCCATTTTTACATCTTTAGTGTCTATTAGAGATGCCTTCCTGACTTCAGAATGGAAGGTCTGAGCACCTGTGTTACACTGACTCCTGAGTTGTGTGTTCCTTCTGATGCTATCGTAAGCGAAATTGTTTTCTTACCCCCCTTCAGCTATCCATTGCTAGGTTTTAGCAATAGGTTGGGCTTTATAAACTGATCTTCTGTCTTACAACTTTTCTAAACTCATTCTGGTTTTAAAGGGATCCCTTTGGAGTTTGAAGATATAAAATCATATCTGAACGTAGTTTTATTTTTCTACTTATCATTTTGGTTTTTTTGTTTTAGTTTGGCTTTTTTGGTATTGGGGTTTTTCTCCTTGATTTATTATCCTGGATAGAACGTCTACTACAAATTTGAACACAAATGAAAAAACAAATAAACAAACAGACCCCCAGACATCCTTATGTTCCTGATCTTAGAAAAGATGGCTAGTCTTTCACTATTCCATGTAATGTTAAATTTGAAGGGTTTTTTAAAAATGGGGGTGGGAATGTAGTATTTTTAACATTGCAACAAATACTGTATGATATCGCCCCCATTTTACAATTGAGAAGGTTGCTGGGGATTGCAAGGGCAGTTAACAGCAAGGGGGGATTTAAAGGCTAGGTCTGTAATTTTCCTACTTTACTGTGGTGCTTTTCCAGCCGTGTGTCCAACAGGGATTGTATGTGTTCATGTCTAGGTGACAGTCTATTTAGTATTCAGAAAACATTGCATTTAAATTTCATTCAGAAATGACTATGTCCAGGACCATGCATATTCGTGTGGATGATGCATTTTTCCCTTTTTATTATTTGAGAATTTCATACATGCACATAATGTGTTTTGGTCAAATGTATTTCCTCCCGTATAATTCCTCCCATGCCTTCCCAAGTCACTTTCCCCTTCGAAGCTAATGTGCTCTTTTTTCTTTCTTAAACCCACCGAGTCTACTTAGTGCTATCTATATGCACCTGGGTGTAGGACCTCCTACCGGAACCCGAGTAGCCTCTCAGGGGCCATGTCTCTGAAGAAGACAGACTCTCCCTCTCTTGGCAGCCTGAGAGTCCCTGTCTCACCAATTGCCAGTAGCTCCTCAGCAAGGGGCAGGATTTTTATGGCCACCTCTCCCTCCATGCTGGGATCTTGTCTACCTTGACCTTGCATGGGTCTTGAGGATGCCGTCACAGCTCCTTTGAGTGCCTGTGAACAACTGCCCCGTCGTGTTTGGAGGACAGTGTTTCTTAGCAGTGCTCTGCCACCTCCGGCTTTTGCATTCTTTCTGTCCTCTGCTATGAGACAATCCTGGAGCCTTGGGAGAAGGGGGTTGGGTGTGGATGTCCCACTTAACTTTGAGCTTTTAGTGGATACCATCCATCGGGTTAGGGAACCTCCAATCTGTCTGTAGCTGGCTAATACACTTTTAACTGCTCGGTGACCACACCCCCTGCTAGATGCTAAGCCTACTGTGTCTTAATTGTTGCTACCTGAGTACCAAGTACAGTGTGGGGAGGGAGAGTCACCCAGTAATCACTTCCCAGGTTTTAAAAGAAATTGTGCTTTCATTTTTAAACTTTATTTTAATTAAAATATAATTACATCGCTTCCCCACTCCTCTTTCTTCCCTGTAATCCCTCCCATGTCCCCATCTTCATTCCTTCTCAAATTGATGGCTTCTTTTATTATAATTACATATGTCTATGCATATGTAAATGCACAAATATATACCTACAGCCTGCTGAGACTCTTGAATGTTGCTTGTGAGTGTATTATTTCAGGGATAAACAATTAGGGCACGCATCACTGGGAAAGAATAACTTTCCCCTTATCAGCAGTCATTAGTTGCCTGTAGTTCTTTGTGCAGGCATGGGACCCTGTGAAATTGTCCCCTTCCATGCTAGTATTCTAGTGGTATTGTCATTTTTCAGATCTTGCTAATTCAGTCATGTTGTTGCTGGAATAAGCAAAGGATTTGTCATTTTCATTACACGAGCTTCTTCCCCAGAGAAGGAAATAATGGAACCCTGTTGCCAGGCCGGTCTGTCTCTGGGTCACATTCTATGAACTATACATACAAGAAGCCTTTCGTGTGCCCTGGACTTGCTGAGTAGGTTGGCTTGCACTGCCGTTGTTAGAATTGCATTTTCCTCTGCTTCTGCCTCATCTTTAGCACCCTGCTGGCTTCTGGCTTAGCTTAGGGTCTGAGCAAGCACAGCCAGGCTGAACAGCTCTTCCACTCTCCCCTCGCACCTATTTGTTCTGAAGAAGGCATGTGCCTCCGCTGCCATGTTGTGGGTGATGCGCAGTTAAAATACTAAGCTCAGAAATTCTAGTGGTGCATTGAGACAGGTGAGGCCGTGTTGACTCAAACTGCTTTCAGGGTCTCTAGGTTTAATGCATTGTGAGTTGCATCTTGCTGAAAGTTCGTCTGGCTGATGCCATCTGCATCCATGCTGATGTATTGACAATATGGCAGTAGAACACTTTCTAACAAAGCTGGAGTTTATACCAGTTTCCACTGCACAGCAATCTTTAATCTCTGAGAAAGTGAAAAATGTCCTTGACCTTGCTGACTGCTGTCAAACATTCCTCAGAGTGGGTCTGCTTCTACCCCAATAAATTCATCTCTTGTAACCTTTAGACCAAGAAATCCCTCTGATATGGCTGGCTAGACTTTGGGTTGAAGACTGGCAACACAGCAGATGAGACCATCAGAGGCTTGGATCAGACTCTCCCATGTAGGTCATATTCAGAGTTAGGAGTCTGGATTTGCCACTGGTAGCATAAGAACTCCAGATTCCATTAAAAAAATATAAACACAATGGTTTCCAGTTACCCCCCCCCCAAAAAATCAGTGTCCGGCCTTCTGGACTGGCTTTGGAAGAAAAATGATCTCAGCTGGGAACTGAACATGCACCCTCTGAGGGTGTAATCGGAGGGTGAGGGCGGGGTCGGGACTCGTGAGCCCCACCAGCAGGAAAGTACAGTTAGTGGGATTAGACACCGCACGGAGGGCAAGCAGACCCTGGAGCTAAGGGAAGAGCAAACCAGAGCAGACCCTTGGATGGCTCCATCATGCGGAAAGCTTTGGAATCCTGCTGGAGACTAGGGAAGAGTTGTTAAGATAATGACAGACTATACAGACAAAAAAAATGAGGCAATTAGTAACTCCTGGAAGAACAAAAAGTTACAGAAGAAAGGAAATGTGATCCAAGAGTATTTCTTCACCCAGCGGTGAACAGTACATATATAATTGTAATAAAGTAGAAATTAAGTATTGATCTAGCAAAAAGTGGAATATAAATATATTAGAAGAATGAAGAGGATAGATGTATAAAAGTGGGCGAGGAATGCCCAGCTCTGTCTTCCATCTCAGAAATCGATGGGCATTTAAAATTGACAAGTGAGGGAGCCGCTGGCTGAGCTGAGTATTTAGAAAAGTAGACTGAGGCTTCCAAAGCAAGAACTGAGGACAGGAAGGGACACAGCCATCTGCCCTTTTTCCTCGTGGGTTGTAGTGATGACTGGGTTCTCAAATTATATGTGTTAGATTGGATTCTTACTAGAAAATACATCTAAGAAGCAGGAAAGGCCTGAAAATCAAATGACTAGGTCTTGCAAGAGGAGACCAACTGGGAAGGAAAGCCAGGGCTCCTAACTGGTGTGGGCGGGGACAAATTATAGTTGCAGGAGAAATATCTATGCAAGGTTGTCACTCAATCTGACCCATATATTCTTGAGAAAAGGGTGCTCTTCTGCAGAGGTTCACAGCCAAAAGACTGGAACACACAGAGGGCAGAGGGCAGAGGGCAGAGGGCAGAGGGAGAGCTGCCTTTCTGGTCTGTCCCCGGGGAGTACAAATTGGGGGCTGACGGTCACAGTGCTGCAGGTACACACAGAGCCAAGTGAGCTATGGCTTAGATCCCAGCTTCAGGCAGGGTGAAACAGATGGAAAGGGCCTCTAAGAATTTTGAAGAGGAAGAACATCCCTGTCTGTTGGGGGACTCTGTGAGGGAACCAGTCACACTCAAGGTCACCATTTGGAAGTGACCACATCCAGTACACAGACAACAAGCAAACCAACTAATACACACATTGTAGGAAATGCCCAGCCTTGCTATGCTGCACCACAAGGTGGAAATGGGGCTGCGCCTCCATGGTTACTTGAAGAAAGGAACAGTTTATTTCCCCGGGACCTCTGGCCTATGAGCTTCTGTGTTTCTGTAGGACACGCTCCTGGTGGTCAGTCAAGGAACTGGCTTCCTTCTCCGTGGAGCCCTGCAAACCCCGGTGGCATATCTGCAGCTAAGCTTGGCATTTGAAATGGAGTCAACCAACCCCCGTGGCAGGTCTGCAGCTAAGCCTGGCATTTGAA